GGTGGGTTTATATATTCATTCACCATTACCCTATACATATAAATATCAGTTTCTATCTGAAAATCAAGATAATGCTCAGCACAATTTTACCTTTTGCTGTGTAATTTTGTGAAGCTAACTTTTGTTAATTCCTAGACCCAGATTGATGTTGGCAGCAACACCTCACTTAATCACTTTCAATTAAAAGTCGGAAACCCAGCCTAAGGGAATTTGAAATGAGCAATATCATCTTAATTCAAAGTCCCGATTGTGAAAAGAAAGCTCAGTAATATTCACCAAAGTCATGACATCTCGTGAGTCAGTCAGTCAAGGATGTGTCACGTCTTTAAAAAAGATATTAAATTGCATTTCATGAGACTTTATTTAAAGTTCTTTTAATATTCACATTATCAAATAATGTGTGCACTGAGTCATTGAATCTACAATGACAAATAAGGATTAAACAGTAATTGATTTTGAATGATCTGTTTTTCTATCTTAGGCTTCCAAAAATTTTGAGCTTAGTGTTAATCTCAATTAGTTATTGCATTCAAATGTGTACCATCCCAACAATATTATTTGTTCAAACTAAAAGGTATGATATTTTGATTAAAAATTTGATAGATTAATTAGAAAATGTGTAGGCCAACTTATTTAGTTTTTATGACAGTAAGGGAATTCAGTGAGAAGTGTCTTGTGGGTTCATGACCAATTGAAGAGGATTGTGATTCAGGTCATGAACAGTATTTTGGCCTACAAACTGTTCAGGATTATTTTCTTCAAGCAATATTTCTTCTCTTGTTCAAATAACCCCATGATATTTGACAATCAAAACTATTTAGAATCTTTTTGACAGTTTATCTCTAACTGCAGCTTCCTGCACTCCATACTCGAGATAACCTGTGTGGTAGGCTGTGGAGTCATAAAAAGTATTTTTTCAGGAAGGACGTATTCTGATATTTCTGCAACTCTTTTTTTTCTTCTTTTATGTATTTCGTTAGCTAATTATATCTTACTTTTTATTGATTTTGCATATAATATAGCTCATAAAAACCTGATAAATTGTAATATTTGGAAGTCATAAAAGAACAAGAAAATATTAACGTAGCGTGTGATCTACATGCTATTATTGGACTCCGGTCACAGGTTCTGTAGTCGATGGTCCATACATGTAGCCACAACTATCGAGAACAATTTGTAGCACTAGATGGTGATCTTATTGCATGAGGGCAATATGTAGAATTGAGGATTTGCTAATTAGTACTCCCAATAGATGGGGTCTTACCACCGTCACTGTTCCTTCCTCTCCGTTATTACCTCGTGTTGCTTGGTTTCCTAACAACATTGAAAGATAACTCTATTAGGGTTTGTTGGGCACACAGGAAAGTCTGCCCGGCTCCTTCTTGGCGCTGATAAAGGCACCGATAAAAACCCTTATGCATGCAAACACTTCTGCTTACAACTTATTCTCTCTTCCTTCAGATTTTAAGGCACTTTATCTATACATGCTATCTTTGCAGTATATACTGATTGGCATCAACATTTGTGTGTTTCTCTTTTGTTTTTTTAGCGTTCTTTTTTTGTAACCTCAAATTCTTAATTTAGTCTTCTGATCAGTATCACAAGTTATTTTTTATGGTTAACGGAAATATGTGAATATTATTAAAGTGGTATGTCATTCATAAAATTGCAGAAAGAATCCACTCAAAACTCATTGACATAAACATAATATTTTCATTTCACAATTTCACATATAACCTATTTCACTTATTTACTATCTAATTATGACATTTTTAATAGAAATGTTTGTTTTAGGCCATTGTAGTGCCAAAATGAATATTGCACTCTTTTGGCAGTTATAAGTCTGGATATGAATTACTGGTAGTTCACTTTGTATCTTTTAATACATGGTTTAGAAATGTATAGGTTTTGTTAAAATCATCAACCATGCAAATGGTATCTACCTAAATGGAGAAAAATATAGTTGTGTATAATGATCACATTCTCATACATATCACTTTATTTTTGCCTGAAATAATGCAGAATTGTCAGACCATCATCATCAAAAAGTTCCTATGATGGTTTCAGTATTTAAGATCCTTTCACTAGCTTTAATTTCTCACCTGTTTTACACACTGTTTAAAGCTTGCGGTCATTATACATGTAGATGAAATATGCATTTGCAAACCTTGACTGCTTTAAAATGATAAATAAATATTTTATGGGTCCCTGTGGATAGCAGGTATGAACCCTGATTTTTTAAACTTTTATAAATAAAGTTTGATTAATAGAAGCAAACTTATCACTATTAAACAGAAAGAATATATTTCTGCCTTTCTGGTTCTACTTAATTTGTGATTACTGAATGGTGATGCAAAGCCTTTTCTTCCCTTTTAAAAAGTTTTTCACCATTTCCCCTGTATTGTTCTTTGATAGGCCAGTCCTTGGTTGAGTTTGGGTTGTTGTTGGTTAGAGGAGGGAGGAGGGTGAAGCAGGGGGATGAGAAGTGTCTGGTGTGATGGGGATGATAGGAGGGCTAGGGGAGGAGGAACCAGATAAGTCCAGCTTGGATTTCCTCTGGATTTCTCGACCAAACAAACCAGTGATCCTCGATGCGGCCTCTCAAAGGCAATCAGCCTAGGATGGCAGTAAGGCAGGCCTATGGACATGGTGCAGGCTAGTGATAAGAAGATGGAGTGGGGTAGCTTTGCTTTGCTGAATGGCACAGGACTACAACTACCTAATAAATAATCAGAACTCAAGAAGTTGTTTTGAAAGATGAAGGCCACAAATCTTTCCTATGAATTAGGTCTTTCACAGCATTGTTGTATGTGAAATTTATTGAAAGTGAAATGTTTTTTATATGAGATCTGAATGACAGTATTATTTTGGAACTTGTATTTTGTAAAATATTCTATCAATGTATTTTATCAAATACAAAATTACATACATATAGATCTTCTTGACAAGCAAAAGCCATCAAATTTAGCTTAAAAATAAGCATATATATTAAACATAATGTACACATTACTTTAGTGGTGCATGTCTACATATTGTATCGATAATATGAAAATGAATGGGCCTATACATCCAGATCTTTTGTCATGTAAAGGAAGAACAATAAATTAAGTGCACAATTCGTTTTTCCTTATAAAAATGGGCTGCTTTTAGGGACTTTTTAACCGAGGAAGTATGAAAGGCTTATTTTCCTGAAGGAAAATAGAATTGACTTTGTTGTTGTTGTTACTTAGGAATAGAAAGCTGTAGGTATGCCTCATTGTATAGCAATGTAACCTGTCTTCCTGAACTTTGGAAATCATTTGCCATTTATTATTGGAACTGACATTTACACACACATCTCTACTTAATTTCTAATATACCGTGTCATGAATTTCACTCTGCATGAAAATATATGAGGCTTTGAATTGAAATCTGATCCTGATCCTCTGCCTTCCATCTACTACTGGGTTCTCACGGGACATATGGGAAAGATCTCTGGTGGCTGCCGTGTTCAATAATTGTTGGAAACCACTGATATTGTACCGGTCTCAGTATCTCCCTGCCTCATCTTCCTCCTATCACTTTCACACATGTCCTAGGACCATTGAATACTTTGTTCCTTGGGAGTGCATCCCCAAATGCGACTAAATTGGCTTGTAACAAACAGACTGCAAATGCATTTCCCCCATCATCTATCATTAATGCCTCTGCTTTTCATTCTCGTTGCGCTTTGCCTGCCCTCCACCGGAGTAGACCGACCGGACAACGCGAGGAAAGAGCCTTTTAACCGTCTACATACTGAGCTCATTGTCTCTTGTCTCATCAAGCTAAATCAATTTCACAAATAATTTGCATTGCATGGGTTACGCGCGAGAGAATCAGCCTAGAAATTCCAACCTAAATATCAAGCATCCAGGATGAGAGGGCAAAAATGTTGTTTACAAATCCCACGCCACAATGTTACCCAAATTTTGACCAGAGTGGGTCGTACTCTAGTGTGTACTTTTTTCCCTTCCTTTTTTTCTCTTTCCTTTTCTTTTCTTCGCCTTCCTCCCGGCATGAAAAGTGTGTGTGTGTGTATACTGTGCATTCCTATGTAGAAAACTTGGTAGGAAGAAATGGATTGCGTGTGAAGCATCGCTTGTTCAAAATGCACTAATGACTTTTGCAGATGTCTCGGAGCGCCATCTTTTTTTCTTTTCTTCCTCCCTCTAAAGTTGATAGAAGAGAGCATGAGAGTGATGTGAGGATGTGACAGAGTTGAAGTCATGTTTGCTGTATAGATCAGGTCACAGTCACACACGGCTCGCTGACAAAGATTAGAACTGACAGTCAGTGGAAATTAGCTGAAATCACAGAAACCTGTCCACTCTCTCACCCCTCCCTCCCTCCCTCCCTCCCTCCCTCCCTCACCAATACTAAACAATAAGAAGAGAAGATGCTAGTATAAAATAGCCACCAGGGAATTACCACCCTGAACCCAATCCCTCATTAGAGAACATATCTTCATCTTTTTCTAGATATCCAACGTGTTAATTGTTCTGACATGCCCGGTTCATTCAAGAAATGAACAGAGTATTAAAGACACTGGTCTTGTGTAATTAGTGAGTTCTTTCATCAGTCATTACCAGCTAGGTTGTTAATGACTAAGTAGAGTGACAAGTCGAGAATGAGTGGTATAACACCTTCCAATGATCTTTATTGTGACCCTTGTAATTTTCCAGAAGATCATCATCAACTCCCACGTTTCTGAGAAATATATCAACCGATATTTGTAGGACCCTGACCCATTGCCGTTTGGGATTCATGCTTTTGCCTTAGTTGGCATTTATGATTTACCAATATGTTTCTCTGAATTCGCTTCTGTACTATTTTTGCTCTTTTCTTCCAATTAAATTGGTAGCTTTCAAAGTCTTGCAATCTTGTAAATTGCAATCTATTATGAAAGCATATAACTTTTCTGAACCCTTGTTCATAATTAATTCATTGTTTTTCTTCTCTTTTCTCTGTTATTCCCACAGATTTATTCAGCAGATCACCCTAATAGCAGTTTTCCCTCCAATCCTTCAACGCCTGTTGGTTCTCCACCTCCTATGCCAGGTATAATATATATCTCTCTATTGTCTTGAGTATTTAGTCTAGAATGCATGTAAGTGTTAATGAAATTATTTTAAGGTTTATATCTGATCGCTAATTACACCAACTACAAGGTAAATAAGTGAAGGCCTTATATTAAAAGGGAAGTCCGCCCTGATATTAAATTGGTTTTGATACAAGTTGAAGAAAAATAAAAGAAACAGGATGGTGAAATTTTGAGCCAAAATCAAATAGAAATAAGAAACTTATGAATTTTTGAAGGTGCTACCAATCAAACATAAATTGGCAAATCTGTGACGTATCTTGCCAGCTCCCCATCCCATTTGCCCTGTATTAAATGTAAAGAACACCCTAAACGAAACAAATCTATACCATCATCAATACCATCATCAATAACTAAGAAAACGAAAGTTTATGAGAATTTTTTTTGTCTGTACAGAGCAAATTCGAGAGGAGGTTGCAAGATACGTCACAGTGTTGCCAATATGTGTTTCACGGACAATTATTCATAGCTTTTAATCGGATATCGGATAATCAGATAATTTTTAATCAGATACTGCTCAAACTTTCACTTATTTTTTTCTCTCATTTTTCTGCTCTTATTAAAACCAACTCTTCAGGGTGGACGTCCCCTTTAACTATAACAAATATGGATATATTGATATTGTATTTTTAATTTTGAAGGAAAAGAAAGTTTCATGGTGAGGCAGTGGATTTAAGCCAGTTTTTCAAAGTCTGGTATTAATGATGATTGAAAACACATTTGTTTGTAATTCCATTAAGCGGGGATTTCTGGTTGAGATGGGAAAGTGATTATCCCAAGAAGTTCAGCTAAATCAAGGTAGAAAGAGATGGGGGGCCAAGAAGAAAAAGAAGGAAAGATAATGCTAATTGACTGTGATTAGTAACAGCTGTTTTATAAACCTGACTGCCGAAGAGATCAAAGTCAGTCAGTCGATTGAAAATTTCATTCATTGAGAAACTTTTTGAAGAATTGGAGGCATTCATAGATGCTCGGTACCAAAGTTTCTTGTTTGATACTAGCCTTGAATGAAGGAGACATGAAGAATTTAGATACTTGTCTGTGTTTTGCAGGGAGCTAGTGCAACATGAAATAGATGTCGTAAGGCAGTTTGCATAGATCTGCAATCGCCGGCCTCAAATTTAAAAGAGACAAGTTTTGATGGTATAATCACACTTTTTAATGTAACCAGGGTTCCGTCTTATAAAGAGTTGATATTAATCGCAACTTACTTAGATTGTGCGATCAATATCAATTGCAACAATGCACATAAGGAATAAGAGACTGCAAACTTGAGGTTGATTGGAAGACGTGCGATTGATTTGGATCATTCGCAACTCTTAATAAGAAGGGGCCACAACTCTTGAATTTTTGTTTATACATGGAACTTCTAATTCCATTTGTTCAATCAATTACCGGTATTCAAATGTTATAGATGTTTTAATGTTAGCGTTTCTTTAGATTAGAACATTACAAATTAGCCACACTTTATGATATGAGACTGATTATACACACTGTATTACAAGAAATTTCAATATGAAAACTAGCCTTTCATTGTAGGAAAATGGAGTGTTTTATCAACATTTTCCCACAGGGGAAGGGAAGGTCTTCTCATAAAAACCCTTGACCCCTCTTAGTATTAGGGGGCGTTGCTTCCTTACCTGCCCACTCCTCAAAAAGCTTCCCTGAAAACCTTACTCTTTTCTTGTCTTCAAAAGTTGGTATCTCTGACATGATAGGGTGCGATGTTATGAAAGAGAGTTTTAGGTTAGATATAAGGGTCTACCTGGGCAGGTAAAGTAATCATGTGATATTGGTTGTGGATTGGAATCAACGCAACGTCCAATCACAAGCCTCGTATGACAAACACATTATCTTTTTCTGTACCACAGAGAGAGAGAGAGATGAAAAAAATGTAATGATGATCATAACATACATCTATTTTTTATGCTTGATGTTGGCTGAAGATTGATAAGCCAGAATGATGATTAAAGTCATTGAGATAACTGTGAGAACAAACAGATCAATAAGTGGTTGCTGGCCTAGATATTACAAACTAATAAGTATTTTGGGGTATTTTAGGGAGAAACAAATCAACAAATGACAATTTTCTATGATTTCTATATAGCTTTATGAAATACTACTGCTACTTCTAATAATGATAATATTATTTATAATAATGAATTTGATAATAATGATCATAATAATAACAATAATAATAATAATACTAATAACAATAATATTAATAATAATCAGAAAATGATGATGATAATAATAACAATAATTAAAATGATAATGATTATGCTAATAATAATATATGAGATTTGTAAGGTGTCAACTCCACTTAGAATCAAATGCTCAAGGCTTATCAGCTATTATCACTTAAAATGAAATACTATAAATATCGAAGTATGAAACTATGAATTAGAATATCCTGATCCAAATGCCAAATAAGTTATGGGGGAAACATATGTCACTTGTAGGACGACTGCCCATATTTCCCCCAAAATATCTCCCCCTAAATATCTCCCTGAAACCTGTTACTAGTAGGTACCTAGGTTTAGTTCTTGATGTGTAGAAGCTGGTGCTATGTTGAACCTAGCTCTATGGCCAGCTAACCAGCTGATGATATAGTTCTTACGCATTCCTGCTAAGCGTTTGTCAAGTGACTCATGTACATTGACTTGAGGAGAAGCACATTCCAATTGTTAGCAGAGTACAATGCCCCTAACCTGACTACTGATTAGTCGCCATATTTATTAATGCCATCAGAGACCTGGCTACATCTCAAATTAGTCTGTCCCTCGATCCTCCCCTCCCCTTCCCTCGATCCCCAACTAGCCTAGCAGTTAGAAGTGGCACCTCTCTGTCTGTCACTGCCCTTGACAAACTCGATAGCTCTTCTTCTTTTATCGTTAGCTGTATTTTGAGAAATTTGTTTGTATTAAGAGTTTTATCAAGTATCAAAACAAAAATCAGTTGGTATTAATATACCAACTGATTTTTGTTTTTATAAAACAATATTTGAAAGTATCTTTTTTTTCTTTGCCCCTGCAGTATGAGACAAGAGTTAATTCATATTTTTATCTGAAAGTTTGATTCAAAATTTAATCAAATTTAGTGATCACTTGAAATCCTTCAAAAATAAACAGTTGATTCTTGTAAAAAGGTTTGATGGTCCCTAGAACATTTTGGATTAATCACTCTAATCCCCCAGACTAGTTACAGAGAGGGGTCTGAGTAGTGGCCTAGCCTAGGTTTTTAACCAAGTAATGTCACTCTCTCTTGTAGGCAGGGCCATGAACCGCAACTTGAGAGCAGTACTTGTTATCAGTCAGTCCCCAGCTGTTGTTCACTCATCTCAGTGTTGATTAGTTGTCTAATTGATGCTGTAATTAGGCTACGGCCATCGTCAGCCAATGACTTTTCCCCCTCAGGGTGGCTAATGAATAAGTGAGTGATGCCGAGTGCTCGGTATGCCGTTGCTGCTAGGTTAGGTGACCAGGGTAGGGTTGGTGAGGTAGATGGAATTTGATGTGAGCTGAGCCTGTGGCATATGTAGGCTACCCATCACACTACACTCCTCCACCCTGTCCGTACACACAGAGTTCACCTACAAACACCATCACTTAAATACCCGCCACCCTCGCTATTAAGGGCAAGTTAAGTTGACGGCTTGCGGCTACGTGAGAGGAATGTTCATTAGTGAGGGCAGTCTGTTTGAATGGGTCTTCAAACATGGACTGAGCACCTAAGATGTGCTTGAACTCAACCTTGGGTCTACTCACTGTCGCAATCCTTTTCCCATCTCTCCCAGTCTCCAATGTCCAATCTCTCAATGACAATATTCCATCATGAAGCTTTTTAATTTTATTTTCACATTAGAAAAGAATTGATTTTGATTTTCAAACTCTGATGAATATGAAGGCATTATTAGAGCATTGATGAAATGCCCTGATGTGTGCTCAAATCAACACAAATATTTGAGATTTTGGTAGTTATTAAAGTAGGTGTTCACTGAGAAAGTGACGTGGTATTGATAAATGTATGAATCGCAAAAGATATTTATGAAATAGAAATGTGGCAATGTGTTTTATTTATTATTGATATATATTGCACAGAGGACAACACAAAAGTTACGATTGTAAATGTTAATTCTTTGTTTTCTGTGAACTGCAACCTCGGAGAGGACCGAAAGCCGTCGGTCCTCTGGTTGCTTACTAACAAGCATTAATGCTTTATTAGCAGTCAAGTAAAATAACCACCACAATAAAAAAAAAACATTGTTCATTTCTCTTATTTTTGATACAGCATGGCAACAACGGCAAGCAGATCCTCAGACATCACCGGGTCCCTACAGCCAGAGTCATTTACATTCATTGGTAAGTTTATCATTGTCTGAATCCCTTGGATAAGTGTGGGGTGGGGCTCCCCCTTAACCCTCACAGGGTCAAACTCTGGTCAAGTTGATCGTTAGGTTTGACATAGATGGATAGATGATCAAGGTCATGTTGTTATTCTAGATTCTTGTTTGTGAACTTAGCCTTGAAACAACTGATCGAGCCCATGCATAATAGATTATCTCGAGTTGAAGTGTTAAAAATACAATTAGGAATTGGATACGCTAAAAGGCAACCATACAATTTCTCGAATTAACATCCAAAGCAATCCGGTCACTTTCGTTGGTTTCCAAGAACCACCGCTAAATAGTATTGATGTACAGTATAGAAATTAAACGTACCTGTTGACCTGTCCTATTAATACTTGAGAATACATATCATGTTGTCAATCGTGGGTAAATACTTGCTGAATTTTGGTAGATACAAATGGTTTAAATGGAAACTTTAAACAGCATAACGAAGTAAAGTGAGTAATTGGTAGAGTTGTTATGAAATTAAGGTCCGTTGGATTGTTTCTTCTACAGACACGTTCCAATTCTTTGGATTCAAGGCAATCAGAACCGATAATTCAGAACTTGTATGGTGGGCCTAAGCAGATTGGCAAGGTTGGTTGAACTACAAAAAACAAAGTCACGCAGGAACGAAAGTTCCGAATATCAAAACTCTTCTATTCCATATAAATATAAGTTCAGTCCCTTGCATGTTTACAAATATTATTTATATATATATATATTCATGTACTTCTTGGAAGTAGAATACAATAATTGATAGTTATTTATTTCTTTGTTTTGTTTGTTTGTTTTGTCTGTTTTGTTGACAAGGGGGTACATCAGTATGGATAGCCAACTATAGCCTGAAATGCTATAGTGTAAAGCATGCTAAAACCCCAGTGCTGCTAGAAACCCTATACATTTTTTGTCAGTCATCTGTGTACAAGAAATCTAAGCGCCACTTTGAGTGATGTGCAAGCGAACTGGAACCATTGGCTTCAGAGAGAGGAAAATTGACAAGAAAATTGACAAGAAAATTCTTGTGAAGTTTCCGTAATCTATTTGAATCGGGGAATTGCAGCAGTATGCTAACTGCAAAAAGAAATAATATTTTGAATGTGTGAATTCTTAAAATATCTTTTCTGTATGGAAAACAATATGACACGCCACTCGTGATGCATTGTATTTCAAATATATTTTATTACATGAAAGTGCACAAATTTTTCATGTTATATCTTTCATACATTTGGCAGTATTTACGGATGTTTCATACCCAGAGTCGGGTTTTCAGGAAAGTGTACGATGACTCACCAGCTTTACTTTTCTGAGATGAAGTGAAGAAAAAAGAAAAAGATGAGAATTTTACTTCTCGAGAGTAAAGGCATCAGTCCCATGATATGCACATTTTCCATAGCTAAAATGAGATTTGTCTGTCACCTTCAAATGAATTACACAAATTGACTCACTCTCGAATCCCAACGAATTGAGAAATTTGGTGATTTGACTGATTTCCTCTGAAATTAGAGAGAGAGAGAAAGGAGAGTGGGGAAGGGAAAGAGAGGGAGAAAGAGAGAGGGAGAGAGGGAGGGTGAGAGGGAGGGAGGCAGAACTAGGACTAGGATGTATCTGAGTTGAAAGTCAAAGTCTGAATTGGGGGTTGGTTCTAACCCCTCCCATGGGGTAAAGCTTGTATATCATCACCCATAGGCACATGGATGGTATCTCAAAGCAAAGGCACAGACCACCGCCCGCCCGCCCGCCGCCCCGCTAGCTGGCTGGCTTGCATCATTCAGAGACACCTTCATTTCCCCTCCAATCCAACCAAACTTTTCAACTTTCTCTCTTCTAAAGATTACTAGTGCTCTAAATTTGATCTAGCATCACTGACTGCTTTCCAATGGAGCTCCTAAAACAAAGAATTTGTTGATTGTTATGGACATAATTTAAAAACAGTCTTATAAACTTGACAATGACAGCGTCCATTATTAATATTGCTTTCCCTTTAAATTTTTTTTTTTTTTTAAAGACAAAATTATTAATTTTTAAAGGTCCACAGATTTCTGTCCATCTCAAATCATATAAGAAACATAACAATCCTACCTGAAACAACAAATTCCTGAAGATGACCAAGTTTTATGATTAATGAAAATAGATCACCAAGCTATTTAATTGCAACTTGCAAGACTAACAATTGCACATTTGGGGGTATTTGTAACTTGTATTTCTGTGGTTTGTATGACCACAGCCAAAATTAGTTTGTTAGTTTTAGGATAAGTTTAGGTAATCCCTTTGAACGGGGACTGGTCATTATTGCCAACATTGACCTAAATATGAATGTTTGAGTGAAATAGAATGTGATATGGGATGGGTTTGATTGGGAGATGATAAGGGTGAGGTTCTGCTGTCATGTCATTGTTCAGACCTAGGGGATTCGAGTAAGAAGCTTCGGATATGAATTCATCTGACACGGTAATTAGATGGCACCATCTTGGACCAATTTACCCCAACCAACCTATGGGACAATCTCTGCTAACCCGCTTCCTCTTCCGATCTGCCGTATTATTAGAAACTCGCGGATCAATCACGGACTTTGGATTATTTTGGATGCGCCCATGGCGGGCGGACTACTGTCCTACATGACAAGGCCAATCTAAGATTCTGCACCCCTGATGAGTAAATTTCTCTCCTGCCTCCCTCCCTGGCTGACTGAGGTCCTTTCCCGTCTCTGACATTTCCAACTTGGCTACCCTAGTTAGTATCAGGCAATTAAAGCATTCAGAGGAATCACTTTTGATTTGCGATGTGGGCTTGATGCTCCTTGGAAATAGAATATCTCTAGCTAGCTAACAATAGTCTGTGTCTGTTGATTTTGTTTTGGGTGTATTTGATGCGACCTGATAGGTTCGTTCCAGTGATTGAACTTGAACTTGATGAAGACGTCTCCCACTGTGTAGAGTGACATAGGGAGTGATATCAGATCGGGCAACTTCACAGGCTATGTGTGAACTTCTTAGCACTTACTAAAGCGACTAGATTCCGTGTTGGTGGTTGAGCTAGTCCTCAAGTCGCTTTCTTTAACTTTAAGTCTGTCTGGTTCACCTTCTCATTCTCTCCTCATGCTGTCTTGAAAGTAACACCAGCGAGTCTAGAAGAACTCTCATTTCTAAGTAACTTCGCCCAGGATTTTGAGGACAGTATTTGCCTTGTTTGACAGAGAAGATCTCTAGGACTAGGTAGCAGTCAGTCCCTGCATACTTTTGTTCATCTTTGTGGATAGTGACAATCTCGTCCCCATCAAGGTTAAGACTTTGCCTTTCATTATGTATTGTCTTCCTGATGCCAGGTCATATAGAATGTACTACACAGGGGTAAGTGGAATGACACCGGTTGATTCTGAATAACCTTCATTCAATTATCGCTATTTAACATACCAGACTTTGGCAATCTTCACGTGCACATTCTTTCTGTTATTTTAGTAGGCTTATAGAGTATCTGGTTTGTCTTTATCACGACTTTTCTGCATTACAATGCATATGATTATTTATGCAGTGTTGTGTTCGGATTGGAATTAAAACTAATTCTTTTTAACTTAATTTATGGGATGGAAGAAGTAAATTCAGGGGTGACGGCAAGCCTTTTTTTCTCACAGGAATCATTCCGTCTTGTAACTCTTTACATTTGGCCGATATCTGGTCAATTGACCCGTCTACGGACCTTCCAGTCCCTTTCTAGTTGTCCACCCTTGCCTGGTTGTCCTAGCCCACGTATTAGGCACTTCTCATCCCCCAAATTCAGATGCATCTCGCTTTGCCCCTCCAGTTGTTTTTCCACCTGCTGACCCCTCGCGACCCCGTGAAAACAACCTACCAACCACCCCTCTCTGATCATTGAGTGGAGGGAATATACCCTATCGGCTTGCCTTAGAGCTAGCTAGCTAGCTAGGCAGGGAGCGAACTCAAGCCCAAAGGTGTACAAGTGGGTTGAGTGCTGCCGCTAATAGGCCCTATTGCACACAGATCAATACCTTCTGTTTTATGCTCTTTTTTGGGGTGAAATCATCGAGGAGAGATGCAGAAGAAAAAAAAAGGATTTTAGGATCATATTTAAGCTCTTTAAATTCATATTGATGTTGTCAATGACAATGAAGAAATACGACCAAGATTACTTGCATTTGTAGTAATTGTTATTTTATCTTTTTTGGTCTGGTGGAGGTTTTGTGAACAAGAGCTGATTTCATCAAACAATGCATTGATGTGAATTTGGGTGTAGGCTGTGTGATTGCTATTTTAAAAAGAAGGGCAGATTACTTATTTTTAAAGTAAGGATAATTGGTTAAACAGTGTTTTAAGATGAATACCTACTATCTTCGAGGATATTGACCGCCTTATTGTGTTTAATAGTGGGTGGTTCTCTTGAAATATACACTTGTAGAAAGTAAATCACAGGAACATCCAACTTCATTCACAATATCAAGTCCATGGGGAAATTTGTTTCATATCCAAACCTAGTTATGAGGAGATTTATTGGTCTCTCAGGATGGACCATTTTCACATGGGTGTTGTTGACGAAAGCTTGTGTAATCTAATCCTGTATTGAAAAATGGAATCTAGCATGTAGGGAATATTTCCATGTCACCATTTAATGTCATATGTTTAAAAGCCTCGATATTAGGAGGTTATTACAGGGAAAGATGATAAAGATGATTATTATGCAGCCTCAACATTTTGTTTGGATACCGGTAGATAACTTGGTATTTGAAGGATACCGACCCCTGAAATGCACTTGAATGGAAATCAATTTAGGTCGGGAAAGAGATTTGGAAAAGTTCAATCATATGAAAGTGAAATTGCCTCTGAGGAAATCTCACATTTCCCTTTATAGTATATTCCCATCAATAGGTGAAACATTGAGAAGAATGAAAAGAATACACGAGCAAGACTCTATCCTTGTGAGATGATTTATTGTAAATGAATTGAATTTATAACAAAATTAATAACAAAACATAGCAAAATGACAGTCTAAAAAAACAAAAAAACATGGAAGATAAGCACGTACATATTTTCCTGTATATGGAGAAGCACTGCAGTCGCAATAGGCCATAATATAATCAAGTTCATTGTATTTCAGTACTCAGGCTATCCAGAATGTGAATTGCATACATTATGTGTTGTTAGGTAGGGCAAGCAACAATGTTAGTCCTACCTAGCAACAATCAATGAATGCAATTTGCACTCTGAATATAGAAATACAACTTTTCTTAACAGGTGAATGAAATAGTTTGTAACAGGCACTTTACAAAGATCTGTGCGTTGAACATGATGACATTACAAATGGTCTATTTAATATATTACTCTTGTACCATCTTACAACTAACTCAGAATAAACTGATATTCCTGCAAATTAATTAAAATAATATAAATACTATTGTTAAGTAGGTTTAGAAATACATTCTATTCTCTTTGTTTCTTACAGCAAACTCGCATTCAAATCATATAAATATATCATTAAGCAGATTTCAAAATAAGTTGTGTTCTCTCTGTTTCTTACAGCAAACTCGCATTCAAATGATACAAATATATCATTCAGCAGATTTCAAAATAAGTTGTGTTCTCTCTGTTTCTTAATACAGCAAACTCGCATGGAGGAGAGGTTAGATGATGCAATCAACGTGTTACAAAAGCATGCCCAGAGCTCGGTGGATTTGGGTCTACCGGTAGGACCAATGGGTACTAGTGGGGGTCTCATGCCTGGTGCCGCGCCTCATTCTGGTTCAGGACCAATGGGGGCTAACATCTCATCGTACACAGGACAGTACCTAGACTCACACATGGTAAGTCATGCCAAACTGTTCATAAGTAATAACTGTTTACCAAAGTACATTATTTTGTCCATCATTCATTGTGATTTTTGTCTATGTTTCCTCTTTACTGATACTAGCTGTTATGCAACTAACCAAAGATCCATTACTAATTTTTGTTGTCAGTTATTCATGTAAGAACAGAGTTTATTCTACCTAAAAAAAGTGTCTGTAGGAAAGGCAGAAAGATACCATCATGTAGTTTCCGTTTTCTTTCAAACCAGAAAAAGCCTTCTTTACGTTTATTGGATATAGGAAAGTCTGATACAACTTATGGGTAGTCCTATCTATAGATCATGGTATTTGTAATTATGCTTCCTCAAATTAACTAATAGAATATCAAAAAACAAATGATTCATAGAGGAAGGCAGTTTTGAACAATAATGAACTTATAGACACGCCTAATTTTGAAGGCCATTTAATGGAAAAGTAAATACTAAAGGAGCGGGCCAACAGTGTAATGGTTAAGAACTCTCAAGGGATAAGGAAAAGAGAACCAGGACTATACAAACACTGGTTTTGTAAGTGCTGAGCTGGGAATGAACTTGGAAAGCGGAAATTAACTTTGTAGACGGTACTTGTGATCTCTTTAACAGATATTCGGCTAGCTCTACTTGTTTGGTCTTGACTTGCACAAGACCTGTGTGTGTTTGTAAAGCTAGGTACATGCCTGTCATATTCACGCATTGATTTGCCTCCATGATACATTGTATGGTTGAATTGAATTTAATTAAATTAAGGAATCGATGCTACACAACTATCACAGTTTGGAAACGCTAATTAAGAATGATTTCAAGTGAACCGAGTATGATTACATTCTTTTCAAAAGAATTTGTTTAAAATCAGACATTCGCCCATTCCTTTGCGGAGATATGGTAGACAAAGAATTTCACTGTACTATGAGCTCTGAATATGTCTCAAAGCAGCAAGCATCTTTGGTTGTGTAATCCTTCTGTAGAACTACAATTATATAAAAAAAAGTAATTAGTTAAGAGAGAGAGATAAACGATGCATCATTTTATAGGTTTTGTACAGTTATAAAAATTGAAGATATCAAAAGTTGGAGCTTAATTGTAATTAGTAGAGCAGATTAACATGTGAATAGGAAAGACAGAAAGGGAAGTAGGACAAAAGGATTTATGGAAGATTGATTATCAACTCACAAGCGGAACCTTGTTGCCCAACATTTTCTTAATACCAGGCTAATCGTTTGGAAGATCTCTACTAGCTCTTAATACAAGGGATCTATTAATAAAGGAAACTATGAGGGAGGTATTCTAATCTGCTCGTCATTTGCCCTGGCAAGTGCTGGCATGGTGTAAGCAGCCCATCAATCCTAGCTTCACCCCAAATACCGTCATATTTTAGAAGATGGACTATAGGAGTAAGCAGCTGCCCTTCTAGTCGTTGGAACTCTTCAAGTAGCTTGAGAGTTTGACAATTGATTACGGTAGGACTGGCTGTTCAGTCTCGTCATGGCTGCTCAAACTCAATGGGATAGGATAGCTGAATGGCTAATGGTTCAAAACACAAGAAAACTTGAAGAATTTGTACTATTACTTCCCATACCGTTGCTAACCGTGAAAAACCTAAGAAAAGTTTGGGGCTTCATACGTAGTTTGAATCTTTTGTTTCTTTGCCTACGAAGATGAGAGATAAAGCTCCATTTTGCAATAAATAGCCCTGTTTATAAGAAAAATTAAACTGAATATATTAGAATTTTTAAAAATTCTCTTATTTATCTCTATCAGATGTGATATCAACTTTATAAAGGTGACTTGTTGTTAAAAACATAAGGTCACTCCCTCAACGTTTTTTGTTGATAAATATTGCAGCGTGATAATAAATATATATGTATATTTTTTTTGTTTAACTCTTTACAGATTATAAATTAATTGCTTTTAGAGTACGAGTAAGATTTACAATAAAGAAAGGATTACAGTCAGCATTTAAATATCCTCATGAAAAAATTTCACTTTAAAACTATTGTAGTGCCCACTGTCCACAATATTGTAATGCAGAAAAGTTTTTTTTGTATAGCTTTCCTGCTTCATGCCTTGAAGCCCTGTTGTTAAATCACATGCTTGTTAAGGAAAAGGAAATCTGGTAGATTTCTGGTATATATCGGCCATTGATCTCCCTGAAATAAGAAAAGCATAATAAACAGATGATGTGAGGAAGTATTCTAGTAGTAATGGGCTGTGAAGTCTAGAAAGGAAAGATAGTAAAGGAGGTATTGTCTTTCAGTATGGTGGAAAGAGGGAGGGTATATATAGTGGAAATGGGTTAATCGTTTTACACTAATCTAAACCGCAACTGTGTTTAGGATCAGTTGCAGTGCTGCCACCACCGCAACCACCATCAGTCTGCAGATAGTGACAACTCTTACCACAACCACAGATACTCATTATGGATGGATGGAGGCAGAGAGACCTTTAAAAGAAATCTGTTGGGTAAATCATCATTAGAGAAAAGCCTCACTGGCCTTACAAGTGCAAACTGAAGTTAGCCAGAAAATGTGTTCTTTGCAAAAGACCAGAAAGTGATTTGGCTTCTGTTTGAATTTTGTTGTCCTTCTCTGCTGGGTGACTACTCATCCATCCGCCCTCTTTCTCTCTGTCTGTCATCTTCTCTCTTTCCCTCCATCCCTCCCTCCCTCTCTCTTTACTTCCCTCTTAATTGTTCTCTTTTCCTTCTCTTCCTGTTTCGTACTATCTCTCTTTCTCATTCTCCATTCATTTCATGTTCCTTTTAACTCATTTGGGGTCTATGTTCTGTTTTCACCTACCGGTATTTTTGCTTTTTCTTCAACATCTGATCCTTTTCTGAGCAGTTTCACAGTAACTAATTGAAAGAAGTGTCTTCACTTCCCATATATGTTAACAATATTTATCAAAAGCAAATACTTTCTCGATAGGGAGTAGTAAAAACTAAGATGAAAGACAATCATTTGTATAATATGAGTAAATATGAAAATAATAGAATTCTCTCGCTCGAGAGTTGTACAAAATATATGCAAAAAAGAACAACTTTATTATTTTCAATGTATTTGAATTGGTCTTGGGCCTTTACATTCCAACCAAAAAAAAATACAGAGAGAAAAAATACAGAGGGAAGTTTCTTCATGTGCAAGCAGTTAATGATTATCCTTCATTAACATGTTTAAGCTTCATATCAAGTTATCAACTCTCATTTCCACATCCAGATTGATGTGATATTTTTTCCTCAACTTTGCCCAATTTAGTTGGTACAGTTCATTAGAGGTGTAATTGGAGTTCAAAGTCAGTCGAATCAAGAGGCTAGAATAGAATTATTACTTGTGTGAAGTGATGTGATTGGCTATTGGACAAATACAGTCTCAGAAGAGGGAAAAGTTTGCTTGTTGGCAAAGTGTTACCCTTTCTGACAATTATTTCAATTATGGAAGGAAAGATTTGTTTTTCTTTCTGAGAGCAAGATAACATTTAGATTGATATCAAGTTTAAAATAAGATGGAATTGTCCTTTTTGATAATTAGATTGGTAAAACATTTTCAAATAAAGTATTACTTTAATGCTTTATGAACTAAGGAAAGCGACAATAAAATTGAATTCTTTAAGAAGCCATAAGAATCACATAGTCTATCATTGGTTGTAAGACTCTTCCAGACAAAACTCTGGCTCCATTTAAATCACCGAAAATTGAAAACAAACTTTTCTTCTCAACTCCTCCCCTCCTCTGTGCCGTTGAATGCCACAAGGCTTCACTCACGTACATAACTCATACAATACCAACACTTCCAAATAAATTTCCACCCAAATTCATAAATGTCAGCGGCGATTATGAATTGGATTTGAAATGTAGGAGCCCCGCAGATCAGAGAAGGAGAAATGCAGAGAATAGTGGGATTAGTTAGATTATTGTAGAAATAGGAAGACATAAATAATATAGCAACAGTTGTGTGCGTGTTACGTCTAGAGAGAATTGATTGTCTGGTTTTACTGCTTGAATATTGCGTGCCGAAGGGTAGTATTCCCCATGACGTGCTTGTATCGTCTGCTCCCCACCCCTCCCCACCCCACCCCTACAAGAACTTGAGTGTACTATTGAACCAGATATGAGCAGGATTTCTTGTCTTTTGTTTTCATTTTTCCTTTCTGTTTTGTGCTGCTCATTTCTGCATTCTTTTGTTTCTGATCAAAAAGGAAAAAGAAATAATTCAAAGATAAGAGTCCCCTGTTTAGAGAGCGTTATTTTATAACTTGGGAATAGTTATGTTCCTTTTTTTTTTAAATGTAAGATGTTGAGTTTATTAGAATAACAATATTGCTGAGTAGATGTTTGGAAAAAAAAATTCAAAAAATACTCTCTCTTAGCCTTAAAGATTTGGAAGAAATGTATTCTTGTTTAGGCCCCATAGCCATTCCAGTGATTAATAAAAATTGTTTTTATCTTAGAAATTTTAGTGAATGTGAGAGGATGTCTTGTTTTTTGTAAGTGATCATGGTTTGAGAGTAAGTACATGCTTCTAGCCACGTTCGTTCGTTCGCCGGCTAGTTGCCTTGGCTTGTTGTAGATGCACTCAGATCTTGGAAGCTGTCGTCATCCCTACCTCACCTTGGCTTCTCAATCCACATGCATTTATTTGTCTGTCATCATATCACTACAGCTTGACAAATTTTGCTTGTCTCACCATTATAATTCCACTCTGTTATTCCCTCCGATCCTTTTGTTTTACCCCTCTCTCTACCCTCTTCCTATTATTCTTCTTCATTCATTTTTTTCACGTTTTGGAAAAACCTTTTAAACTCTTTGCCGTCCGCCGCTGTGAAGTATTGCCACCAAATGAAGCAAGAGGGGCCCAAACCCCAGAGGATAAGAATGAGCAAAGAAATAAGCATAGTTCTTAGATCGGTTCAGTTTTATTCATCTTTCAGGAAATATATCAAATACATTAATGTAACGATATCCATTGATATACTGAAAGTATTTTTTGTATACAAGGCAATGCAATAATAATTTATTTGGAAGTGGGAGGACCTGCAGAAAAATCTGCCCTTGTAAAAAAAAAAATTCTCAAGGATTTTCTTTTAAATTCCCACACCACACTTGAGCAATTCACGAGCTAAAATATGATCAATTAATGTTTATGACATGAAGTGATATGGTTGCAGAAGCAATTTGAAACCCACTAAACTGGATAAATAGATCAAATATTGGAATCTGTTATCATGTCTTCATTGTCAGTCATGCCATATTCAGATCCAATTTTCTCTGCCACATGTCCATAATTTCTACCATTAAGAAAATCATCCTTGACAGTAAATTGACATCTAAAGTAACCTTGTCAAAGTCTTTTGAAAAACAGTTTCCATTTCCATACAATGGAGAACCTACTCAAGACTCCATACTTTAATAATATTCCCTTATCCATTTTATCCATCAATTTTTTTTTTTAAAAGTTTCACTTATTTACTAACAATTTAAAGTACTTTTTGATTCATTTCTAGGTTCTACAAAGTGATATCTGCTATGATTAAAGTTTGTCTTGATGAAATTTATTCATGGAAATTAATTGTTGATCATTTATTTACAGAGCTCCCTTTTATATATTAAGATGTCAAAATCACTTATAAGCCTATGTAATCTGCACCAAGTCAGTATTGCTTCCAGAAAAAAATTGATAATCATACTGACTCTGTGTCATGTTTCGCCAACAGTTATGTGTGTGCATGGGCAGGGGTGTTTTTTAAAATTTAATTAAATCTTTACATTAGATTTGCATATGAATACCAGTCTAGTAAGTCTAGGTTTCATGCAGGATTTTGTTTCTAGGCCAGGGGGGTGTTTCACAAAGATCTTGAGTTGAACTTAACTCTAAGTTGTACTTAAACATTATGGAGAGCCATTTGTAGCCTTAAATTATTTTTTTTTAAAGAGAAAATTCCAAGTATTTTAGACATTTTATTAATTCCACATCAAGAACATGAAATCTCCTTGATAATAGAATGATTTGAATCAATATTTTATGCCTTTTAAAATAACTTTTCATAACTGTTAGTGTTAAGTCCAACTTAGAGACAAGTTAAACTTTGGATCTTTGTGAAACACCCCCTGGTCTCATACGGTTTGTTGTCTGAAACTATTGACATGTTTCCTCTGGTCTTAAAATGATGAGCAATTTGCGTGTTTGGGAATGACACACGAGGTCAGCGTTCTCATCAGTACAGAGGAGGTACTACAGACATAGCAAAACAATCCTTTTACTTTCACTTGGAATAAGGCCCAAAACACAGGTCAAATCCTGTAAGCTTTCTCATACTCAAACTCAAGACTAACGTCAGAGTAATGTAGGACTTCTGAGAAAAAAAAAGTGAAACCTTATATAAAGTAGGCTATGACTAAAAGCATTGAATACATTTTTCAATTTCCAACTATAGACTTATGTTTGAAAACTTTGAATGAGAGTACAGAGAATATATTGCATCTCAAATTACCTAAATCACAAGACTTCATGAAGCAAAGTAGAATAGTGTTGGTCATTCCTGACTTGGATACAAAGTAGTTTATTTCCAATAATAAGATATTCGCTCAATATGGAAAGTTATATTTCATGAAATAAATGTTTATCTTACGTTAGTTTTGGTACGGGTGTAAATTTGTAACCATTGATAATGTAGAAGAAAAGATATAAAGCCACTCTGACAACTACATGTAGAAAGAAAAAAAACTATTACAAAAAATTAAATCAATTTGAAGACAGACGTGTAGTGAAATAAGGTTGTACCAATGCAAATGTCATGATTTGAGGATATTTCTTAGGAAGTTTGAAAGATATGATTTGTGATTCATTTTAGCATGCATGTGAATGACATGTTTAGTAAAGTTTTGACGATGTGAGTAGACACGATTCCTCCTCGCGGAGCATGACCATGACCCTGTCTTCCACCATGCCTGCTACTCCGGGTAGGAGAGAGGAAGAAGAGGCGCCATGACATGATGCTCCAGTATCACAACATTTGAGATTCTTTCCTTTTCTATTAAATAAGATAGTCTTGATTTGTCTCAGTTGAATTGCAGTTTATGACCTTACAATGTCAACAGGCTTTAATATTACTTGTATCTGATATTTTCTTCCATTTTAATATGCTACCGGGTAATTTCTTTTCATTTCTTTAAAGATGTTTAGAAATGTGTGTCTGGCAAGGACATCTCTTTTCTAAAAAGTTACCTTATGAAGATAAACCAAAGCATTTTGTAATTGGTCTGAACAGCTGATCATTCATTATGATTTAACACTAATGTTTGTTTTGCAAAATACGCAGTTTATGTAACATTTAAGCAATCAGAAAATCGAAACTTATGTTTCATGAAGTCTCTATTCTTTGTATTTTCAAAAGATTAATCCATAACCGATTAAAGATTGAAAAGTTTTGTAAAACAAAAAAAGCTATGCATTTTTTGAAAACACTGTTTTTCAAGAAAACGAAACATGCTTTATTTGAACTATGTAAAGATGCTACGATGTTATTTCAATTGATTGTGCATGATTGTTTGATTTGTTCAAAAACATATATTTATTAATAAATTCAAAAAAAAGAAAAAAGAAAAAAAAATGCTAATATTTGTAATATATGAATAATTAACAATGTACTGGTATACAACTTTTCCCCTTGAGTCTAGAAAATACTATAAACTAGAGATAACTATGCTTCATATATATGTTGTTGAATATATGGCAATACCAGGACAATTTTCCTAACAATTTATATAATTCTTTCTTTGTTTCACAGCCTGGTGGTCCACAGTCATTATCGGAGAGGGGAGGCATGCTATCACAAGACCTCAATTCTGGACAACCATATGGAGGTAAACTATTTGTTTTAACAAATTCTTGTTGATTCTGTTTGTTTGTTATTTGTTTTGTTGATTTTGTTAATATTTATTTTACTTTTCTTATTGGAGAGTTGGGGGAGGGAAGGGGGCATTGAGCAAGAGATATTTACAGAGGTCATTGATTCATAAATTCAACTAGAGTAGGACGTGGTATATTTGTTTCCCAAAGTGATCAGATCCCAGTCTTATATTATCCTGTTTTGTGTTTCTGGATTGAAGTTGGTTTTGCTCTGGCCTGGTCACCTTGTTCTAATTTGATTCCATTTTGTCCAGCTCAAAATATCATCACCCAAGAAATAAGGGACTGCCTCCCTCCTCCAAGCTTGATGGAGATGGTCCTAACTGCGATTAGGGTCTCAAATTTGTGGCATTTTCATCCGTGGATTTGGAGCTTCTTGTGATGGTTGATCATTCACACATGGCAATCTCAGTGTATTATGGCTTCATTTTCACCTCTCAACCAATTTTTTTATCCCTGTTAAAATTTCAAGGGTGAAGGATCTAGGTGTAGTTCTTAAACATTTAAAGATATTTATAAGTATAAAATGAGTTGATGAAGAACACGCAAACCTGAGAATGAGGGTTGTATCAGAGAGTTACAGTGACGAGTCTGACTGACTGACTGCATGAAGAGAGGTTGAGTTTAGAAGAGGCATCTTTCTTGTAACCACACATGAAGCGGAGTCTCTGTTTTGAGAGCGTATGTTTATTTTCACTGTGCTTGAATCAGATTCTCATCTCCTGCTGAGAGACATCCTCATCTTCCACCTTAAGTCCTCTTCACATCTCATTCTTAATCCTTATCTTCACCTAATGTCATGTTCACATCTAATCTTAATCCTTATATTCACCTAAAGTCCTGCTTACTTCTGATTCTTTTTCCTCATCTTCACCTAAAGACCTGTTCACATCTCATTCTTAATCTCTATCTTCACCTAAAGTCCTGCTTACATCCGATTCTTAATACGATCTCATCATGAATTTCTTCTTAGCCTACACATCTTCATTGTCATGTAAGAATCTGTTAATACGTCCGACTTGAAATTTTCCCATCATAGACAATCTCATTTTCATCTATAGTTTCATTCATATCATATTTGTCAGTCTGTCTCTCTATAGACATGTTCATGTTTACCTTCAATCTAATGAACATTACAGAGTTACAAACCTAAATCCAACTCATCACAGATGCCCTCATATTCTCCTGTAGTGCAGTTCACATCTCAGTCTTTATGTCTTCTCAGCATACACATTCTCATCATCAAACACGGGACCATTCACATTGTTGTTTTTAAACCTGTCTCGTGAGAGACATCTTTATTTTACCCTTGGTCCTTTTCATATCTCAGACTAAGGCCTACCTCAACATTATTACTGTGAAAGCAAGCAGTTACCCCCATTAACCCCATTAACTTTTTTTTTGGGGGGGGGGGAAGGGTTCAGGTTTAGCACATAATCTATGAAATTGAGGGAACAATATCTTTAAAAAGCCAAATGGCATACACCTATATTTCCAAAATTCACTGCCATGACTAGGAAAGGGGAAACACACCCATATACTAAGTTGGTTTTTAGAACAGGTCAGTGAAAGTTTTAGCAATATCCGATTTAAAATAATGAATGTTCACCGTATGATATCTTTAGTTGAATATTGCACACCTAAAGTAAATGGTGAGAATAACATTCTCTACCCTTGACTCTCATGATAAGTTGGTTTGTACCTGGTCATGGTGAAATCCAGGGGGCGGGGTTGCTGCGGCAAGGTGTCAATGGAGTTGTTGATTCATTTATCATGCGTCATGGCTAAACTATTGCTGTCTGAACTAAAGATGAATCCTGGTTTCTTTGATGGAGGATTGCAGGATGTAATTATTTGATTTTGATTTTGAAGTAATCGACCATGGGATGGGAAGACAGTCAGGATGGGGGAGGGGTAATAAATAATAAACCCCATTTGTAGGAGGTTTATCCTCCTTGCGTAGGCATTACGCCACCTCAAGGGCCAGCAGCCGACAAGGGTATAGCATTCAATCCTTTATCTCCCTCCAACGTCTGACTTCAATTTACACCCAAGGTTGTGGAACGCGCTAGGTCCCTTCCAGCTCCAGGATGACTGACTGAATGTTCTTTGTCTATTGTTTGAAAGGAAGTCATGTTGCATACCTGTGCTGTAATAGGAACCAGCCACATACATTCATGTTCCCAAATAAAGCTGGCAATTAGAATTCACTTCGGTGTAGATATTTTTATAAACACGAAATTATGTGAGAATCATCAGTCATGTTATGGTCAGTTCATATACCGATAGATTAATATTAATCTTTTTAAATTGAAAACCTAGTTCCACTCATACTCTCGTTTTGAATAGACGTATCATTGATTTTTACCTCGAAAATACATTATTGAATTCTTCCACCTTAGCCAGTCTAAGTTTGAACATATTTGTCTCTACCTACATCCAAGAAAGACTTGTCCCCCTTCTGCGAATGCCCATCATACATTCCCCCTTCCTTGAAGAAAGTTGAGGAGTTGTAAGGAAGAAGATTTCCATCTGGTGACAGACATGAATTGCTTCATCCTATCTCAAGTCTGGTAGCTAAGCATATTCCTTGTTACATTGAGAAGAAAGAAACCCCCCTGCAAACTGGTTCCAGATTTGTTGTGTTGTTTGCTGATGTCTTCCAAAGCCCTAAAGCATGTGGCTTTTGACAAATTGATCAGGCATGGGTTCAGCTGTCTTACTGACAAACTTTGGGATAGGTGGGACTAAAGCTGTCATAAATGGGCTACCCATGTCACTAATTTGAAATGAAACTGCAACCTCGTTCTTACTCAAGAATGAAAGAAGTATGCAAATACTTGGATGATGCTTGTACACGGGTATTACGCTTCACTGGTACATGTTATAAATAGTTCAGCCCGATTGTATTTGTTTAGTGTGGCTTATATCAGTTATATGTGATATAAGTAAAAGTGAAATATTGCTTCTTGGCAGTCAGGCTTGATTTCGTAAAGTCACAGGGTGGTTGCAAAATTTGTAATTGATTCCACCTGTCTGGTTAAAATAGCCCAGCTTTATTGATTTATCTGACACTTTTCATGCTAGAATATTATTCACAATCGTGGTATGATCTGATCATGAATAGACAGTTGCCATGGTTACAGGTCAGAGACAAACATGACTAATTAATCAGTAAATCAAGAGCTTAATGTCAAGCTATTAGCAGAACCTTTGGGGGTTCCATATTTTCTGCAAGTCACTACATGAGGGAATGGAATGCACTTCAGAAATGAGAAAGGGTTTCTTTCTGAGAATGCAAATGAGGGAAGTATGGAGATGGTTTTGAGTGTGAACAGATGAGAACCTTAGATGAAGTTTACTGCTACTCTGAGAGTCATTACTTTGATAATGAATCACAAGAGAAATATTTTAGGGACGAGGAGGATTTTCATATTTAAGAGGATTGGAAACAGCTTAATTTTGTCAGCCAAATTTCAGAGAGTTTACTCATTGTGGTTCTCAACAAAATTTCTTGTCAAAGTTAAAATACTTTCTAATGTACTATCAAATGTCCATTGATGTTGATTAAGGTTGCAGCCTGAAACTAACATGGAGCAATGAAATGGATGAGTAATTAATGTAGGGTCTCTGATTAACAATCAAAATGGTTATGGGGAGAGTTTTATCATATAGACATGAGTTGAAAATATTTCTTATGTTTTATTTTGCAATATGTTTAAGGGTGGAGGGTGGTTACCATGGTAAAGAGGTCATGATCAGAGGTCAATCACCATTTTCTCTCTTTCCTTTACTTTCTTTTCTTTTCTTATTTCTATTGGTCAAAATACATGATGAAAAGAAAGAGAGGTAGAGAAAGATTCTACACAGCTGGAGTGAAAGCAAAAGTCTAGCAACCTGCTGAGAAAGCCCAGCTAATTTGAGCTAATTTTCTCTGCAAGACATACGTTTAGGAAGACAGCAAATAGAAAAAGAAAAAAAAATTTAAGTCAGTGACTCATGGATTAGACACAATGCCCCCCCCCCCATCCATTTTATTGACGTTTCTTGAAATACAGTTCCTTTTGCTTTCATTTTAGTTTTGTTTCATGACTATTACAAACTTTCATGAAACAAAAGGAGGTCAAGTGCAGGAAAGCTGACTCATATCAACCAGGCTATATTGTAATTTCTAAAAAACAATAGTTTTTTTTTAATTTTTTTTTTACTATGGTAAAAATTGGTAACATAGGTTCAATGGCTTTATTCGTAACATACTTTACACATGTTTGTCCAATACATGCATACTGTATACTCTCATATATTTTCTGATACATTTGTTAGTTAATAGTTTGTTTCCTGACTGAAAATTGGTGAGACCTCAAGTTCATGTGTGCCTTAGCATCCGAGCCTTTCCCCTTCCCTGAAACACAGATGAATCCCAGGTGGTACTTCTCAATCAAATCTCTCCGGCATTTCTAGAAACATTTCTCCTACTCCAGAACAGGGATATGTTTGTGAATTTATGCAATATGCCCCGGAATAGACGTGTAGTTTTCACCTCCGATTTTTTCCCTTCTCTCTCTCCTGTGTTATCTCAACCTCAGTCAAGTCAGACAACATGTTTTGAGCCCAAGTCCAAATAAGCCATGGATTTTTCCCTTCCATCCGAGCCCAAAGTACTTTCAGATGACAAAGTTTACAGCATCTGTCTATTTTGCATCTTGCAAGGAGAGCAAGAATGGGATGTGGGGTGGGGGAGGGGGGGGGGGCACAAGAAAAAGGAATTAGTTAAGAATATTATATAGACTGATGTATGGGAGAGAGGGTGGGGTTGAGGGAGAGGGATGAGGGTTGAGGAAGGTCATGAGAGGGGCAAGGTGTAAGAAATTAGAATGGAACAGAGCTCGAAACATAAATGGAGAAAGTGTTATATATAAAAGCAGTATAATTTTGTGTAGAAATGAAGAAAGGGAGGGGGAGAAGGGGGTCAAAGGGAGATCATTTAATGTAGGGAAGAAAGTAAGAGAAGAGAAAGGAGGTTGTGAAGAAGAGAGAGAGTGAGTGACATAAATAGCAACGAACACATATTTGATTATTTTAGTTTTTACAAAATAAATAGATTAAAGTTAAAAGAAAAACCTCTAGTATCTTCTGTTAGGAAAAGTTTGTTAGTACCTGTACGAAATCGATCAATTATTGGTTATTGTTAATTATCATGACATTAAATAATACATTAATGAAGTCTTTATTCCATTAAATTTCACATTATTATAATTTTTCATAATTTCAGCCCTATGTAGTCATGGGGGAAGCAACATATATTTGAAGGAAATGCTTTGTACTTGTTTATACCTTCTGTAATGAATACGATGAATCATTGTCATATATACCTTGAGGGCATTTGAATAAACAAGGATCTCAGAATGTCATTTCAAAAGGAAATTCAAATTAATATGAAGGATTATCTAGATCTCTCAGAAGAGTTGTTTGGTATTTGAGGTTCTGGATCATAAGTAAATAGAAGGGGAGAAGTGTGCTTGGAAACTTGCTCACTGATATTAATTATTTTCCACAACAGCTGATATTTAAGAATATGCATTTCACATGAATTTAATATACATTGGAAAAGTAGTGTAGGGTACTATGCTACTAAAAGGACGTCAAGCTCCTTGTAAGTCTAATTTAATATACCACCAGGGGGTAAAACTTGGAAGGAAGGAAAGAGAGAGAGAGAAAAAAAAATGCCAGTCTTGTTTGGAATTGGTATGACAACTGTGTTTTGAAGAGTTCCAGTGGAAGAGTTCTCAGGACCTCACATGCATCTAATGTTTCTTGGGGTATGGTAGTAGATGATACTGCAGTAGGTCTACAGTTGTTGAACCCACTTGGAAAGCACTAAGGCAGTTACCATGATAATCTTCTATTGAAAATTTGAGAAATGGGAGAGAGAAAAAAATCATAATTAGGGTTAAAAGTATTGTATTTTGGTCCAAAGGATGTTAACTCTGTTCGGTTAAACAGGTTCCATAAGTTGACTCTTTTCTGGCCCCCACAGATGACATAACATGTATATATTTTTTACAAGGGCTGTTTTTGACACTATAGCATCACAGCATTCTGACAGTACCCTCCCTTTTAATTTACTCATCATTATGAACATTTAAGAGGTAAATTGCCCTTGGCTTCCAGCTTTTCCTCCTTCCTATTGAAGGTGAATCTAGGAACCTTCAAGTTAGTGTAGCCGGATGATTATAAGGCCTACACTGTTTCTGTAGACGATTGATCAAGATAACTCTATTGTATCCAATTATTCACTTTTGATGCTGATCTTGTATGTAGGGGCTGATGACCCTAATGACCCAGGACCTGTCTTCTCTTTGCCCCCCTATCCTATGCCACCATCATGCATGTAACCACCCTCCTGTGCCCCTCACTCATTGTGTATTGGTGTTAATCAGTCTTGGCATGTTATGGGCATGGGGTAAGTCATGCCCTCCTTACTAGTCATGACAAAGTCATATCAGTGCATATCAGAGGAGTAGGGATTCATATATGAAGAAATGTGAACAGTTTTATAAAGAGAGAGAGAGAGAAGAGAGAGAGAGAGAGAGAGAGAGAGAGGGGAGAGGGGAGAGAGAGAAAGACAGAGAAGGCGGCCTGTCTTCATCAACTCAAGTTTGCCAGATAACCTGCTATTTTCAGACATGGGATATTTTCCTGAAGCTCAAAATTGCGTCTTCACTTGACCGATACGCTTAACACAAACTAGCTCGGACAGGCGCAATTTTTAGGGGGCAAACTCGAGCTGATGAAGGCAGGTCTAGAAAGAGGGAAAGAGGGGGAGGGGAGAAAGAGAGAGGGAGAGGAGAAAGAGAGAGTGAGGGGAGAACGAGAGAGGGACAAAGAGAGAGAGAGAGAGAGAGAGGGAGAGATGGACAGAAAGAGAGACAGAACGAGAAATAGAGACAGAGACGAAGGAGGAAGGGGGAAGGGACTACAGATAGACTGGAGAGAGAGATGGGGAGAGGGGGGCATATCCTGCTATGTAGCCTATGTTTGGTAATAAACTAGAATGACATCCTCAACGACCCCCTCAATGAGGGGAACGAGACATTTCAATTCAAAGAGGAAGTTTTTGGCCGCCTCGACCTCCGGATTGGAAAAGGTCCTTACAAAATTTGTCAATCATTGGCACATCCAACTATGGGTAGAAAGATGGGACGATTCGGATCAACTTTAGCTTCAATGAATAAGAGTTTAAAGAAGTAAACTGAAATTATATGTCCATATTAAGAAATAAGCGATAAGGAGAATATGTCATATCAAACTAAATAGATAACACCCTTCTGGCTCTCAGGACCCGATTTGAAACCTACGGTGCCTTGAAGCCCTATTTTAATACAGGTAGAAACATTTTCAAGGGTATATCAGTATGAACAAATTCAAAAGGTAAATGAAAATTTAGATATTTAGATGAAAGACAGAAGGAGGGATTTGTAAAAGAAAGTTGAAATGGAGCAGCAGTTTTGGGACGCAGAGAGGTGAAGATAAGCCAAGTTCACATGGCTGGCGTAAGACGAGGAGGATTGGATGATGATTCTAAGGAAGTTCACCGATGAAATCATAATTCGATAGCGGAGGTCGACAGAGATTCAGTTTGAAATTGAGGCGTAATTCAATCAGTGGCCGGCCAAAAATTTGGGATATAAGATTACTTCTTTAGTGTTGCCCAAGCACTGGAGGTGTAAAGGTGATAAGGCAATTTATTGACTTCCCAAACATTTTAGTGGTTTATGATTGCAGAGGGAAGCTAATGCAACCGAAATGAATGTTTCCTACGGCGATAACTCGCATATATCTGAGCCGAGGTTGTGAAGCCAGACATATTGCCGTTTCCTAGGTTTGCAAGATAAATGCCTTAAATGTCACACTCCTCATGAAATGATTAATGTGAAGTTTTACCAACACGTGAAGAGCAAAATGAATGTAAATACTGTATTTCTTATTTCTTGTCCTCTATAGCTTACCATATCTATATCAATGTCTGCTCCTTTTTATTTGTTTTCTTTATTACACTTTTATTCAACCGTTACTTTATGATACAAATGAAAGTGGTCAATGTTGTCATGTGGAATATTCTTTATTCCATCTGGGTCCATCAGAATCAGTAACAGTTGTACCAGGGACCATGTTCAGAGCTTCAGTCATTTTAATTTTGTATTACCCTTAATCCAACACCACCTAAGGATTTTAACCGACTAGCTGTCATTGAACTAGTCTCACTGCTATTTCTGCTTATGTTTAAATGTGACAATTCATAAGGTTGCTCATTTTGCTCTCATTTTGCTCTTAAAATGGTGTAGATGAAATATTATAAACAAGTTAGCAAAGGATATTAATTTTGAAATGACATTATTTGTTAGTGATATGTTTTTTGATGATGTTTGACGTCATTGTTTGTTGTTACAGTGCATGCAGAGATGATGGGGAGTGGACTAGACAACGGCCTCAAATCACCTACTAATACCAACACCAAGAAGAAGACCAAACCAGAAGAGAGCAAGACGAAAGGAGGTGGAGGAGGAGGAGGAGGTGGTGGCGGCGGTGGAGGAGGATTGATGCTGGATAATGAGAGAGAAGACGGAGGTCCACAGTCCACGAAGAAAGGAGATGCTGCCAATGCCATGAAAAACAAAAAGAGGTTCAAGTATGTTCAATAAGGCTCTTATATTCTCTCCTTCGTCAGTCAACATTGACTTTACTGTCAATGGCAATTTGTTACTATCTATGATTCTCTATAGGAGTAGGGATATCTCAATTTTTTACTGGAAACCGATACTGGTTCTAGAAGATAATCACCATAGGCTTCTTTGTGTAAAATGTAGGTTTGCTGGCTCTAATTTTTTTATTTACTGACTCTTGGCTTTTACACTACTCGACCTGCAACAGGGAAATCTTACATTAGAGAAATTGCAGTTGAAGTCGGTTAAAGGGAGGCTTTACTACTTCAGCTAGAAGGGATTAGACCACACAGCGAGCCAGCGAGGTCACTGTGACAGGTGGCTATCTCATTAACTCAGCTCTCATTTAACATAAGAAAAAGAGGATCATGGGGGACCAACAGGCACCGATTGGGGAAGTTGTCTATATAGTGGGAGCAAGTAGCTATAAGTAGGACAGTGTGCCTTTAAGGTGATTTTTCTCCCAGTTACTAGGAGGGAATGACTATCATTATAGGAATATAATCTTGTAGAGAAGATTATACTCAATCTTCACAAAGCATGACTGTTCAAAATTCAAACATTAATGTGTTCATCTCCTTGCTGAAAATGATGAGAGGAGGAAAAACTTATTGATGTGACCTGTCACCGGCAGCTTATAGTATTGACACTGTGCTTGGGATCGGGTATCGGATGTAATTGAACTCTGAGAATGACACAAGACTATCAGGGTGATTCTTCCCTTAACCCTCACAGTCTCAGCATTTGAAGTGCTATCAACCCAAAAGGCTTCATCTTTTTAAAAGGGCATTGAAGGGCCTACTTGATAGAAACATTAAACTTGTAGTTTCGCTTTCAAGTAATCTTTTATAGCTTGAAGGGATAAGGTGAGGTAAAAGCCAGGGCGAGAGTACCGCACTAAATTTGATATGTCAGATACATGTACGATAAGAAGGATGGATGGTGTCTAGGGAGTTAAACTAGAGCAGGTTTGGAGGCGCTTGTGTCTTCTGCTGACAACCCTCTTGTTGTTAATCCCTTCTAATTACCCTGTTATTACCCCTCTTAATCCCTCGGCTTCCTCTAATGAGACAGAGATGACAGGAAGTCTACTGGATTATGGGTCCTTCCCCTTTGCTTAATCCAAGTCCCCCTCAAAGTTGCTCTAGAAAGTTTGTACTTGTGTGTGGGTTGTAAGGGATGAGGTAATCGCCCATTGGGGTGCATAAATCACGTATACGAGTACAGAACTTTATAACTCGCCAGCCTAACACATTTCTAGATGAGGTAGCGAACAGTTTGACTGTTTGACCCTTTCTCTAGGTGCCGTATGAAAAGAAACATGCAGAGACTTTTTTTGTGATTAATAGGTTTAATAGTAGGCTTGTTAGGAACAAGAATGAGTTCAATTCAAATGTTCAAGCATGAAATGTAATGTACATGGTTTGATTTTCTGAACTTTGATTACCGCATGGATAATTATGTAATCTATCTATTTAATACTCATGTGAATCTTCTAGAGCATAATGATGAAATGTTTAACCTGCTTCTTTCGATTGAATGGGGAAGGTAGATACAAATGTGACTAACCCCATGCCCTGGTTTTATCTCATCCAATTCAGGAACGACACAAGAAGTGGTGGTGGTGGCGGCGGCGGCGGCGGTGGTGGTGGTACCGCTAGTGCCGCGGGGCAGCTGCTCTCAAGCCTGGGCAAAAGTCTATTGCTCCTCAATCCTGGCTCACCAGAGTTAGTACTCTCTCTCTTCTTTACCTAACACATTGTCAGAGCTTTTCTGACCTTACACCATGTATGTCAGAGCGGAGCATGCATGAACCCAAGAGATCTAGACGTGACTTTCAATCAGTTCAGCCTATGACTTGCTTGAGAACCACTTATAGGATCCTACAGACCGTATTATTGCATTTAGGTCATAATGAGTTGGGAGTATTAGTATGATGTAGGCAAAGACAAACCAACCAAGTTTCTTTTAAAGACATCATAAAATTATACACATCATGAATTACATTCATTTTGATGGAGGCATATATTTGTTCCTTTTAAATATACAGTCAAAAGCTGTAAATTTTGATATAAGTTGATCGTGTCGAAGGGAAAAGAGATTGATGTGCCAAATAAATGCGTATTTTTTCCAGTCAATAGCAAGGTTACTACACCATATTTTTCTCATAAGAAATTATTGACCTACTTATCTAAAAGAAAGGAAAAAAAAGAGATAAGACAAAACAGGAAGGAAGAAATGGAATAAAGAGAGGACTTAAATGAGGTTGGTTGTACTCGTTGACCTGGTAGTGAGGTTTTGTGGTATTGGTTTACCATCTTCGTCAAAGGCTGACTTGTACATTAAAACAGAGCCACTGGCAAATAAGATCTATTCCTTCTTCCTACTTGATCAATTACATATGATTATTACATTAAAACCCACATTTAATGAGATGAGCATAATGAGCAAATCGATTTTTCATGCAAGATTTTTGCCCACCCTGGACTGCTTGCTAATGAAAATGGCATACAGTGATAGGTTTATCTTGAAAATAGATCAAGAAATTAGGTACACACGTCTGTAGGCGGTTGGCCCTTACATTTCAGCTTGAATTGGTCATGATTTGGTCTATATTTCATAAGCTAGGGCATGATGTAGAAAAGCTTGTTGGCTTTTCAAATTTGTGGATCTGACTTCCATATTACCTGGTCTTTTTTTTTCTTCCCCTTTTTTTCTTCTTAAAGATGTTTACCACCAATTGGCCCCAAATACACAGTTCGAATGACTGTATCATGCAAAATATTAAGTCGTTGGTTATAATTGGAACCATCATTTTATATATGATAGATATTTAAGACTAAAATAGGTAGTTTGATTTAGAACCAAAATACTAATTAATTGCAAAATGATGCAAATGTGTTTCAGTGGGTTGTAGAAGCACATAAATTGAGTTCTTTTCTTTTAGATTATTCAATTAAAAAATATCCATAGAAGGAGCTTTTTTATGATAGATAATCAGGACCGTTCAGAAGACTTTCTCTTGATAATTAGATTTGTTCCGTTATTGCTCTGCCTAAAAATTAATTTAGTTTGAGAAAAATTTATTTATTTAGTTTGAGAAAAATTTATTTATTTAGCATTCAAATAATGTAATTATGTATTTTTCATATATTATCCCAATTAGTAGATACAAGCTATTATCTGCATAGAAATTCATGAAGGTCTTTTGATTTTTGTAGGAGTGAGTCAGACGACGAAGGGCTCTCACCGGAGCAGAAGGTGGTGAAGGAGAAAGAGCGTCGTCATGCCAACAATGCAAGGGAGCGCATCCGCGTTCGGGACATCAACGAAGCATTCAAAGAACTGGGTAGGATGTGCCAGTTACACCTCAAGCAGGATAAGGCCCAAACCAAGCTCACCATACTACATTCAGCAGTCTCAGTCATCACTACCTTGGAGCATCAAGTTAGAGGTAAGTTCCTCCTCCCTCGAACCCAAAACCCAAAATGGTTTTCATTTAAAGCCCATCTGTACTAGTTTATAGGAGGGATTAGACCACCCTGCAAGGTCACTGGACAGGTGGTTATCTCATCAACTCAGCTCTCAATTAACATAAGAAAAATATTATCATGGGGGACCAATGGTCACCAATTAGGCATTTGTTTCTATATAGAGGGAGCAATTTGCTGCAAGTAGTACAGTGGGGCTTAAAAAAACTGACTATTCAAGAAAAATACAATTCAACAAATTTGTGTATGTGCTTTTCGTGGATGATGCAGATCATGTACTGCTGAAGGTATGTATTGTAGAACGTCATTAACAATCAAATATTATTTCTGTTATGTACTGTTATGGGTAAACCTGTGCAAGCTGTTGGACTCTGGAGTTCATCATCCATGATTTGGAGATCTAAAAAAATTATTGTTTTCAGAAAAAGTTTTATTTTGATGAAATAAACAAAGTTTTTCATATTTATCTATCTTTGCTCAAATGCCATTTATTTGTTCAGTTTCAAAGCATGATCTTGAGCAGCCTAACTGTTTGGTTGTATGTCTCTGTGCTATTAAACAGAACGTAACCTGAACCCCAAAGCAGCGTGCCTTAAGCGGCGAGAAGAAGAGAAAGTGGAAGAGATGCCTAACAGAGGGTCTCTTGGAGGACCAGGTCCTGGTTCTGATCCCTTGGTCTCACAGTCTGGACTAGCAGGTAGGTAAGTCTCTGTTTCTCTCAGAACACCCTCTTGCATTAACTTACAAAGCAAGCAGGCTAGCTCTGATGGTTGCAATGAGACTCTTAGGTCAGCAATTTTCTCTAAATGGTGGATGGGAATTCCAGTTTGGTCATAAACAGCAGCATTTCTAGAATAGTCTTTGTTTTTGTAGAATAAGTATTTATTTGCATGCCCCATTTTGGAATGAACTATTTGTAAAGTGTCAAGTAGAGGTACAGTCAGTTTTGAGGCACAAAGGAAATACAAGAGGCAGATTCAAGTCAATACTTGCAATTGTTTTGGCAAATAGAACAAACTGTTGTGGCTTTTGGTGCAGGATATGTTCTGTCACTTTGAATCTTTCTCTGGCCTTTTCTAAGTTTGGCTGTTACATCTATGTTCAGGGGTAATCGTTTTGGTTCCAAATATTTCTGACCCGGCTGTAGTACATGGAAGTGACAAGTTACAGGAAGAAATCGTTTAAGAGTTAACCCGATGAAAAACAGCTCTGCAGCATGGTGTGTCTTTGTCTGCAGTTCAGGGTGAAACTCGGGCTAGAAACCCTATGATTGTACAGGCTGATCCTGCCAGGACCAATAAACGCTAAGCCGGCTACACCAAGTCATTACTGAAAGAGACGGGTCAGGAAACAACGCCCCTTGAATTCGGTTCCAATTGCCCCACGTCAATTCCCATGAGGTGTGCAGACGCGAGCCACTGTGACTGGGCGAGGAGCGCATAACCCCAAAGACCTACCCACGAAAAGTGCTGTTTAATCGCAAGTGGGGAGACCAAGATTTGATCCTCATCCTGTTTTGAAGGGCAGTTTGTTTTCTGCTCGTAATATTTTGCTGAGGAAACTTAACAAGTAATATCGGTTATCATAGTGTTAAATTGATGCCTTTCCTGTTGAGGCCCTTTTTTTCCCTTGGAGGATTCGCGGGTTGTCAATATTTGGGAGCGGAGTGACAAACGAAATCCGATGTGAGCTAGTTTTCTTGTTAGTGTGACCCTGAGCCGTGAAATCTAACACCATAACCTCAAACTTATTGGCTGGGTAAAAAGGGAGTCGATATGTGTATCTTTTGCGCGTTGGTGATGGCTTATCATTATTGGCTTGCGGTGTGGTCTTGTGGCATGGGTTATTGAGTCAAGTGTCATTAGAATCAAGGAAGATGTCTAGATGTAAGGCCTAGATGACTTGAGCTTCATTAAATCTTTTAACATATTCAGATTATGAAAAGCCCCTGTTTATGAAAGAGATAGAAAATTAAGAAAAAGTAAAACTGGGTCTAACCTTTACAGGTCAATGTCGCAATGTTACTGATATAAAGAAAATTGAGCAATATCATTCATACATTTACTGTATGTGTTTTATATGCATCCTGTTCAAATGGCAGCATATTCATTTCTTATGTATACACTTTGTATGTTTTGGAATAACGGAAAGTAAAAAGACCAAGCTTTTTCAGCCCTCCTTGTTTGCTGACAGGGCTACAATAACCTCATTTTCATCCACATACTGCAAACCAGACTTTAATCATGTTGCTCCTGCTCAACACTTATTGGTTGGTTGGTTTTATTTTCTGTATAAAGATTCAAATACATACACAAGTGATTGCCGGTATTCGGAAGAGCCACAATGATTTGACCATTGGGATTCCACAGCAACCCTTGGTGTCTCATCTGTCTCTATCCGTAGCTTCATTGACTTTTTTCCTTTCTTACCTCCGTCTTTGAACTTGACAGTTCTCCGATGCAAAGATAGTTATTTAATGAATCAAATGTACCAGCGTATAATTTCCTAATGGGTAATTGGTACAGAAAATTGCTTTATTACTTTTTTTAAAGTAAATAACAACCTCTTCACACGTATCTGAGTTTCAAATAATTTAATATATTATATATTGCAAGAAAATCTTGGCTTGTTAAGTTTATTCCTCTATTTCGTTTATTTTTTGTATTTACTCATTAGGCAATAACCTCCATGGTCGGGGAATGCAGTCCTGTTTGGGGCAGTCATCGGGTGCACCAGGAGGCTACGCCAACCATCTTTATGACAACTCCATGTCCCATGGCGCCCCTCATCAGACCAATCTGGGCTCTATGGGAGGGGGACACATGTCAGCCATGGACCTCAACCCTTCCCCATCGTCTATGGGAGGTGGAGATCACATATCCAAGAGCGGTCTCTCGCACCTATCGCACTCGAATGCCCAGCCGTTAGAGCCACTCACGCCGGAGGATAATGACAGTATTGCTGTACAGTAACGGCCACTCACTCGTTTGTGAGTCTGCCGCTACAGACCCCGCTTGACCGCCAGGTGGAGCATCACTCTTTATCTTACTGTGACTAGAATAAAGTGAGCTCGCCCCTTGACAAAGGATACATGGAAGCAGTACAAAACCAAGACCAAGTCGTTTTGTTTCAGACTGCCAACAACTTTCACTGACTTTGTTCTGATGTCCTTGATCACCCGCGCGGGTCTGTACCGGTAGACCACATCTATGTATTGCAGCCGTGCAGCTTTATCGAAAAGTCTATTAATTATATATGCCTGTAATGTACATTGATGAAGTCATTAACTTGATTGGAAAACACCTCTTCTATATTTGTGAAGGAGAGAATTTTTTGTATAAGAAAAATGAATTGTTTTCCTGTCTCTCCTTGTCATTGTAAAGTATCATGATTGAAGAGAAGGATAGATTGTAATGTTGCGTTTCACGTCGTCGGTGAAACCTTGGTAAAAGAGATGTTAATGGGTAGTGCAGATATCCGGTGAAGGTACTAAGCTTTTTTTGGATGAAGACACGACAGGATACCTTTCTAATTTTTCAGATGGCTTTTATTTTTAAAGCCCTGAAACATGTGTGCAGATATCATTTCATAGTATTTGGGTTTCTTCTACTTTTTGTTCTCTTGTATGTTTCATAATAGGAGTACATTTGCCATCATACCTTGTTATTCACTGTAAAGTTGTAAAAAGTTTCCAGTAAAAAAAAAACATGAAAAAAAAAACAACAAGGTGTAGTGACGGCAGATTTATTTCTGCATCCAGCTTTATCTGGATCAGCTGTATCATTTTTTTGTAAAATAATATTTTATTTCTTCTGTGTCTGGGTAATCACAATTGTTATATTAAATGTTTCACTGCACAATAGTAGTCACTTGAATCCCCCTTCAGTTTCCCCCTTTTGAAATGTTTCGGTGCTCATTATTTGTTTTCCGTTGCCTAGTCTCAATGTACTATCAACCATTTCTTTCTCAAGAGGGTATATACATTTTGTCATCTATTCTCTCTTTTATCATTAACTTTGTGTTTGTTAGGTCAGCATTGCTATGTTGTTGCTCATTTAAACTTTTTCTTGTTCAACAGACGGTGCAATCTTGTATTTAAAACACATGATTCTAACTTTAGCTCAAAAATTTGGTGGTAAATGATGTTGCTATCCTGAGTGCATTGATATTCTTCCCTGCCCATGAATTCATAATAACTGCCATAGCTCTCACGCTGCTTCTTATATCCAGTCTAAATTTCTCCTGGGTTGGCTGCCAACTGTAATGCTTACTTGGGATAGCAACTCACTCCTAAAATGAGGTCACCAAAGGTCACAACATGATAGTCACATGATGGCACACAATAGTCACATGATCCATAAGTTTGGTCACATGATCAAATCTAAAGCCATATTGAGTTTCACGAGACAAGTTAACAAATGTAGAGGCTCAGAAATAAAGATTGGAATTAATAATTGTGGTTGACAAACTTTTGCAGAAATGCTTAGAGTGTTCAAAATAGAATACTTTAAAAATGAAATTATTTAAAGAGAGGGGGTAAAGAAAGAGAAGAATGTCAAAAGTCAAAACCTTGACCTCCTGTTAATCTACCATTATGTTGGAGGAATATCTCCTTTCTAATAAGAATAAATATGAAATGAGGTAATTAGGCAGTGTACATTGTTAGTCCTAATCATTATGAAGTAATATAATGCAGTTTAATTAATTTACATGTCATTTAGTGAATAATCACTTTTTCATTGACCCTGATTTTATATTTAAATTATTTAAAGATTTCATCATGTACCTTATAAATGCAGTTTAATTAATTTACATGTCATCTAGTGCATAATGACGTTTTCATTGACCCTGATTTTATATTTAAATTATTCAAAGATATGATCATGTATCTTGAGAGAAAGCTCTTTGTCAATCATTGAGAATAATTCAGCTCGAGTAGTAGCCTTTTCACATCCCAAATTATTGAGTTACATTGTCCAGTATTGCTTTCTTTTCAAGTTGTATTTATGATTTCAGTGGTATAATTATTTGTTTATTTGTCTACTGTTCAAATTTGGTTGTCATATCAGGAGGAAGTTCATACCAGGGTCTACCCATTGTCCAGGGGGGCGTTTCACAAAACTTGTCATCAGTGACAAATGACAGTTTGTGTTATAAGCTACTGAAATCCTTGCTTCTGATTGGTTATCAACAGATTTGTCACTGATTTTTGTCATTTGTCATTGAAAAAAGGCTTTGTGAAACGGGTCCCACGATTAAAAAAAACAGAGATTTGATCCCATACAAATCCAAGTTTTTTCCAAAGTCTATATTTACCAAAAGGATGGTATAAATCTCTCCTGACATACTCTGTCTGCTTTCCTAGAAACTCTTCTGAAGACACCAAAATTGCCATTAAAAGTAGAAATAAAAACCCTTTTCCATTTTTACTTTACGACCCTTAATATTCATGATCACTGTTCATTTTCCAAGAGGCCTTTTGCTACATTCAGATAAATCACCAAGTTTGTCACAAGATGTTAGATTCATTGGTACTCATGAAATATGGGACTGAAATTGTTGAAACTATTGCTCCAATTTAATAACATAAAAACTACCCTCTCTTTGCCTTGCTTTGCAATGTTTTTTTTAAATTTATTTTTTAAAGATTAATGCTCAAAATTTGCAATTTATCTCATTAATTTTGATACAATCATCTCATGAAATTGACAAATCACATTCCATATGATATGTCCATGCATTTAGTGCATAATGATTTCACTTATGTCTTTTTTTTTTGCTTAGCAGAAATTTAAGGGAAAAAAATGAAAATGACTATTTATGAGATCGATTTTGTTTAATTAATGTTATTGTTCATAAGTGTTATATTGTTTTTTTCAATGTGATAACACTATAAGTTATAATTGATTTTGCTTTTACTCAATTTTATTTGGGATAAGCCTGATAGTATTATGATTGTACAGACATGTATTTCTTAGAGGGAAACAAAAAGTGCAGTTTTCTAAATCTCGAGGGTCCATCATAATAATGCTCCGTTCTCTCTTCTTTTTATTACCTTTTTCTTTTTTCTTTTTTGCTGCAAAGGTGAAAGGGGAAAGGAACCTCCAGTAGTTAGTAGCTACATTGATTAATAAGTGTAGATTATGACATGAGTGATTTTTTGCTAAGATGCTTGTGTATGTATTACAACTGTAAATGTTGTAGATTATTGTTTCATTTAGATGATGAATGACTTACGATGAGAAATTTCTTCTGTCTCCCTATCTCATTAAGAGAGAGAGATACAGATAGAGGAGACAGATGATGTCGATTTGGAATATATTTTGTGACTCTAACCCGAGAAGGGGTTAACTTATTTATGACCAGGTAAATGAAGAGATAGGCACACTCTAAATCAAGGTTTCGGGAATTTTGTTCTTGCTCTGTCCTGTAACTTTTGTAGAAATGTGCTTTCTTCTTATGTGTTGTTAAATGCTCTTCTTTTTATCTCCTTCATTGTGTTTTAAGTTTTAAAACATGTTAGATGCTTCTTCTCTCTTGCTATCTTGGATTATGACACTTTCAAGCAATGAAGAATAAGCCATGTTGGCTGGTACAGAAAGGAAAAGGCCATTTTTATATCATTATTGATAAATGATCTCATACTGGTGAATGAATGGCCAAGCAATTTTGATTTTTATGTTTTTAACATGGTAGTAATCTGTAGAATCTAGTAGATATTTTTGTAGATGATTAATTTTTTTATTTCTCTCTGTCTCTCTATACGAGGAATAACCATATTATTTGTGCTTTCCATTGTCGAATTCACCCCTCATATCTTTCAGATAAAAGATGGCCAGATCTTTCAATTCAAATCATGTAATGTCCATATCATTCAGATATTTACACAATTAGCATCCATGCGAAAGGGGAATAAGATTCTGAAAAAGCTGTCATCAAATTCCTTTTTATGAAAAACAATGAATTTGTGCAAAGATAAAATCTCTTAGGTGTAAAGCACTTGATGTGAAGCAGGTTATCTAAGTAATCGATCCATATTGTCTTTAAAATGGTTACTCAAAAGCAATTGCCAAATATTTAGAACATCTCAGATTATCACTGTCAAGAGAAAAGAGGTTAGTTTACCAAGTAAAGTAAAGGGTGAGTTATTAATTTCCTTTCAAAATAATTGTAATACTTTCTGCATTTTCTCCATCACATTGCATCGATAAGCAACGTACATGTAGACAATTTAATTGGCCTGGACCACATCAAGGCTCAGTACTTAAAAACTACTGCATACACACAGAACAATAACTGGTCCGCCATTTGTTTTGAAACAATGTTTTTAAAATCATTACCATCAAAAATGTGTCTGGATTTGAAACTTCCATTTTACAAAAAGATTGGCCCCAACTTCTGTGAGCCTGTATTCTACCCCAACTATTATTCCTCCTGTAAATTTTAAATAATATTTCATGATTTCCTTTTTTTTAAATCTTATTTTTGTTAGTCTTTTAAGAAGAATCTGTCTGTTTGGTATCAACCCAGCATCTTTCAAATGTATATATGCTTCTCGTTTAGGAAATAAATGTGCCATCTCTTTTTACCTACCCTGAATGCTTGACAAGGTTAATTTCATTTGATATGTATAGAGAGAGAGAGAGAGAGAGAGAGAGAGAGAGAGAGAGAGAGAGAGAGAGGGGGGGGGGGGAGTCTGTTAGTCATGAGAGAAGAAGAATAACAGGCAAGACCCTTCAATGAATTTCTTGTATGTTAGGTTGAGACAGCATATTTGTAGGATTTTTGCTCAGGCCCCTTTTTTAAATTACACAACTGGAGTGGTTGTGGAGAGAGGAAGGCAAATTTTGTGATAGTAACAAAAGAGCAGTTGTATATTAAGAGAGACAGATAAGAGTGAGAGAGAGAAGGGAGGCATACAGAGAATGTGAGGGAGAGAGAGAGAGAGGGAGTGAGACAGGTACAGAGAGAGGGAGTGAGACAGGTACAGAGAGAGGGAGACAGATACAGAGAAAGAGAGAGAGAGAGGGGGGGGGGGGGGGAGACAGATAGACTGATGGGGAATGGCATATTTATAATAAAAATTAAAAAAATAGAAGAGAGCTCAAGTTTGGGAAATCTGTCCACTAAAAGTAATCAATCATACCAGCTTTGCTTAAGGTAAAAGATTTATTGAAAATATGACTTCTTAGTGCATCTGCTTGGTCTCGGATAAATGAAACTATATTTGTATATTTCTTTAAAAATATAAGCTTTGAAAATTATAAGATGACAATAAAGGCCAACTCTTACCTTCTTCAAATACTTTTCTTTTGTGAGTCCCAAAAGGTCATCTATGAATTGTAATTTTTGGATACAATTTCTTCTGCAAGATATTCATAATTGAGTGAATTTGTCATTTACTGATAAATTTATCATCGAGGGAAAAATTATAAAACTGGAGACTAAGAATTCCTTGAAAATACAGATATTTTATAGCAAACTCTCTGGGGTTGTGTGTTTCTGTTTCCTGCTTTCACAGGTTTATTCAACTATCAGATAATTCATTTTAAAAATTAAAAAAATTAACACACCAACTTTCACCAACACAGTGCTTCACCAATTCAAGTAACTGAAGAATTTATCTATATCTTCTTATTGAGGATACCCAAATTACAAGTTATGTGAAATTCTAAGCATATTGCCATTATGATACAAATAATTCACAAACTCTAAAAGGTACATGTACGTCTATGGTCGACAAAAAGGTATATCCACCAGCATTTGTATGGGCAGCACGTATTCACGGACTGATTAATTTAAAAGATAGAAAAGGTACACTCACATTAGTAAAGAATTTAAAATAGTGTTTTGAAATTAAAGCTATTCATTAGGTGAGTACTGGTTAATGTCTAAAATATATACAAATATATATATATTTTTTTTTATTAAATTCAGAAAATTCAGAAAATAAAGATTCAGGCATAATCAAATCAATGAATAATTGTTTTATTTTGACAAATCAGTCAGCATTTAATCAATTCTAATAGTCTCTTCAAATCGACATACACTTATCACGAGATATCTAAAAATGTTACAATGGATAATACTGCTTGTGCAACGTACACATATAATTACAGAATCAAAATATGGTCTCCAAACTGTACAGTACTGAGTGGAAGTACAAATAACAAACAAAATGCTTCATTAAACAAAAATACCAAGTAAATAGCACCATTCATTTACATCCACTTCATCGCATCTGAAAGAATGGTTGTCATAAGAACTTTGTATCTGAATTTCAGAAGTACCACTATGTAAAAAAAAGAACTATGCCTGTATTATCAATTATATATAATGCATATAAATAACCTTTGCATTTGATTAGCCAATTGCAGATTGCTGGCACATTTTAAACAACTAAAGATTGCCATTTAACTCTATCACACATCAATAAACATTTTGATGGCTGGGTATTCTCTGAATCATGAGCAAGGGCCTCAACTCTTTACCTCAAATTAAAAAATAACATTCCATTTTCAGTGAAAATGAAAATGACGGTTTTATATGAAGTAGTTTTCATATTTCATATTGCATGATAGATGCATGCATTTTATTTAGCTTAGGTACCAACATTGTCAATGGCACAGGAACCACCTGTAACCTCATAAAATAGATGAATTTTACCATCTAACTCTTTGCCAATTGTCAAATATAATTTTTAATTTTTTATGTTGAAAGGTTTTATTTGTCAGAACATCAACAACAAAAATACAAAACACGTGTTGGATTTGTTTTGTAGAAAATAAACAATACTGCTGTTTTACACATTTATTGTTTTTTAACTTTAAAAAGACATCGTTTTTATGACAGCACATAAAACATCACAAGACACAACATGAAAATGAAAACCAGTGTTTCTTGAAAAACTTTGAGCAGAAAAGTTATTTTACACATTACAAAACGCAGTAAAACCTACTGATTTTTTGCCACTTTGTCATATGCTTCTCAATTTTGTTTTTCTCCTCTTTGCAATAAATTCCTCTGTGGACTTGTATGACACAATATAATATATAAACTGTTTCAGTTTGGGACTGACATCTTAATATTTACATTGCAAAATAAAATGTTTGCCAAGTAATGTAAGAAAATGAAATGCCAAAGAGGCTTGAGACTTGACTTCTAGGTTCATTAATTCCAAACAAAATCTTGTCACACACAAAAAAAGCAAGTAGGGTAACTCCAAGTTGAAATTGAAAAGTGCATTCCAGAAAGCAATTGTTTTCAGACATGTGAAAAATAAAAGATTAATTGTCTCAGTTGATCAACTGCAGAACAAGCAGAGTTAATTATTTTTTCCCTATACATGCTAGCCATTCATTGATTGGTACCAAATTGTTAAAAAAAATTATATTGGGTAATGCGAAGTCTTGAGTCAACACTTGCACTTGGACCTGCACTCGAATGGTTTAGAAGTTATCTTAGTAACAGACAGCAATTTGTGCAGCTCGGCGAAATTTGTTCAGATATGTTACCCGTCACGTGTGGAGTACCTCAAGGTTCCCTTTTGGGTCCCCTGCTTTTTATTTTATATGTAAATGATTTTCCAAAATCCTCAGAGACGTTTTCTTTTTTGCTATTTGCAGACGATACAAGTGTATTCTGTTCTCATAGAAACTTAAATACTCTTTTAGAAACTGTAAATAGAGAGCTTTGTGTATTGACTAAATGGATTCATGCAAATAAACTGTCACTAAACTTATTAAAAACTAAACATATGTTATTCAGTAATAGTGAAACAGTAATGCCTGGTAATGTAGTCTTTGATCAGGTAAATATTGAAAAGGTCTCATTTATTAAATTTTTAGGTCTCCACATTGATGATAAATTGACTTGGAAGATGCATACTACTCATTTAAGTAAAGTGCTCTCTAGAAATGTTGGTATGATCAACAAATTGAAGTTTGTATTCCCAAGAAAAGTACTTAGCATGTTGTACTGTTCCTTAATTTTGCCATACTTAAATTATGGTGTGCTAGCCTGGGGTGCCTCAGCCAAATCCTACTTAAATAAAATTCTGCTCATTCAAAAGAGAGCAGTGAGAATTATTTCGGCAGCTGATTGGCGTGCTCACACTGACAAGCTATTTTACGAAAATAAAATGCTGAAGGTAAAAGATATATATTTTCTATATCTGGGATATCTTATGTATCAGTTGGAGAAGGGTGAAGCTCCCATGTCAATAGCATCTATTTTTGTAAAGAATAACCAAATACACAAATACTCTACTAGGCAGGCTGCCTTATACCATGTATCATTAGCTAGAACTCAGCTTAGGATTAATACACTTGCACATACTGGACCAAAGTATTGGAACTCTTTAGACTGTTCTATTAGGCAGTCTGTAAGCTCTTCTGTCTTCAAACGTAAGCTGAAATTTCATCTACTGTACACCTACAGTGAATAGATCTGATTTTTATTAGTATTCAATATAGGTAACTGGAATAGCATTGTCCCCCCCCCCCCCCACCCGTGTTGTACATTATCCTCCTTCCCCTATTTCTTTACTTTTCCATTATCTTTATTCTGTTTTCTTTTTTAGTCTACCATATTTTGTAAATTAGTGGTAGATCTGATATTTATTTATAGTCTGTATAGGTAACTAGATTAGTATTAGTCCCCCTCCCCCTGTAATATAACCTACTTCTTTAAAAAAAAATGTTGTTTCTGTAAAGGTGATCTGTGTTTTAACAAGCTGTGCTTTTTTAACAGACGACCTCTTTTTCCACATTTGTTAAAGTCTTTATAACTGTTTCATTGTTAATGTTTTTATGCTAGTTTACGATGAACTTGTTACTACTGTTACTGAATGAAATGTTTTTTTATGCAAGTGGAAAGAAATAAACAAATCTTGAATCTTGAATCTTCTTGCCGGAAGGGTGAATAAATCAAACACTGTTTGCTCAACCAAATATCTCAAATATCATTGTCATCACACACATTGTCATCACACACATTATATCACTTTAACTGGTATAGATAAGTGTAGGAAGAAAACTTCATGGTATTAGCACCTATCAATTGGAGCATAACATCGAAAAACATCACTTAAAGTGTACTATTTTGTTGTATATGTATACTTGTTTCTCTAGCAAATATCTCAAATATTATTATCATCACACACATTGTCATCACACACATTATATCACTTTAACTGGTATAGATAAGTGTAGGAAGAAAACTTCATGGTACTAGCACCTATCAATTGGAGCATAAAGTGTACTATTTAGTTTTATATTTAAGTAGTTCCCTTTCATAATGATACATATTTAAAATATGAGCTGCAAAAACAACTTCTGTAAATAGATTTTGCAAGTCCAGATACACTCTCAATTAATATAAAAGCGACTTGTGCATACACTACTGGACCCACTCCTGTTCCCTGCTTGCACAAGTGTTATATTGTTTTATCAATGTGATAACACTATAAGTTATAATTGATTTTGCTTTTGTCCCTCTCTTTAAATAATTTTATTTTTCAAGTATTCTATTTTGCATAAAATAAGGCCCCGCACAGAGTCCAAGTTTGGTTTTTTAACAGCAATTTTATACATTTCAGTTATAAACAAATTATATTTTTAGGTGATTGGTATTCTTTAACATCAGAATTTTGAATGTAATGAAATCATAATTATATATCACCAAACAAATACTGAATTGAATTTCTGAATTAAACCACCCTTGCAAAGAAAAGTGATCTAGCTTGGTTAATCACTGCACATGAAGACCTGAGCTGATTAGACTCATGATTATACTACTCAAAAACTATCTCACTAGCCACTGCCATACGACAGAGAAAATAAGAAAATTTTATATATATTATCATATATATAATCATATAATTATATTATTATATCATCATATATATCATTTTGTATTATATATATTATTTCTGGCTAAGTAGGCCTACCATCAAACAAGATTGGAACAAGATTATCCCCATTGTACTTTAAATATATGCAAAACGAATCAAACCTTTAGCCAAGCCTTATCATTTAGTATCAGCATCAAGATTAAGTCATGCTATTGCTAATTTTGAAACAATTTTTATTTTAATTTCTTTTTCCAATTTTTTTTTTGAAAGGTAAAACACAGCACACTTTAAATCTTGAGAATTACGGTAATGCTATAGTTTATACCGCCGGTTCCTAAGATGAATTATTTACCCTTCTCCACGAGAAAGACCTAGTTCTCTTTGCGAATATTTTGATTTGCTTTGTCAGCATAGATCATGGCTGTGAAAGGCTCTTCAAAGTGCAGAGCTATTAGATACATAGCACCTATCAATGCAGACAGTAACATACCAGTCGGACTAGCTGCCCTGTAAAAGAGATACAAAACAAAAACATCTTTAAAATGTCTGTCTTTGAAAAAGGTACAATTATTGTTCTGAACAATTCAAATTTGAATCACTTTTAGTGTATTGCTTTCAAATATATTCAAGATATAAAATCTTTAAGGTATTAATTAACTCTTAACATCATTTCCCCCCTTTTTTTCTAGATCATTATTTGACTAGATTCCAATTGATCAGGGGGTGTTTCACAAAGATCCTAAGTTGAACTTATCTCTAATTTGGACTTAACAATTATGGAAAGCCATTAGCATCTTTAAAAAAAAATTGTAAAAGTTTTTCTAAAATGTTGATTCAAATGATTCATATTTTCTATTATCAAGGAGATTTCATGTTCTTGGGGTAGAATTTATGAAAAGTCTAAAATAATTGAATTTTTGCTTTTGAATATATTTTTTTTGTAAGGTTACAAACTGCTCTCCATAATGTTTAAGTCCAACTTAGAATTAAGTTTGACTTGGTTTCTTTGTGAAACACCCCCCAGAATAAACACTTATTTCATAAATTGAAATTCAAAGACATGGAATAATATCTGTGTTTGAACACAAGGGAAATCAAATGACAAGGACAGAAAGATCAAACACCAACAATTTGTTTCTGTAATATCAATTGATGTTTTCATGACTACCTGCATTTATCTATATATATATTTCTTAATTAACAAAGATTTTATTTCAATTTAATGCAAGCAACAGGCTATGTCAGATGATTTATCAAGAGAGTAATAAAAGAGAACTTACACAAGTGAAGCTCCTACATACTCCAGAGTTGAGCCCAGGTACATGGGATTGTTAAAGACATTGAATGGGAAAGATGTGACCCGCTCCTCCATCAGAATATCAAAGGAATCGGCTAGTTCAAAGAAAGAAAAAAAAGACAATATGAATCACCTATGACACCTTATACTGCTACTATATATTCCCATTTTTGACATCGACCTAAATCTATCCAACCTCCATTTCTAAATTGAAATCATACTTATATCAGCTTATAAAAAGTTAATTGCCTAATTTATGTCACATATTTCAATACATTTTAAAAACAAGATGGTGTGTATTTAGAGTTTAATCTTACATATCAATTTTGTGTCTCTTTCTTTTCCTTATAATCTATATTTTTGAAGATCATTCTTCTTCTCTTTTCAGTATAAGACAAATCTGATTTTAAAAAAAAAAAAGTATTCCTCTTTGTTTTTCAAAGCAAGTATGTAATCTATAATAGCTAACATTACAATCTCTCTCTCTCTATCTCTCTCTCTCTCTCTCTCTATCTCTCTTTTTATTTCTCTCTCTCCTTTCCTCAGGCCTTTCCCCCTCCATCTCTCCCTCCTTACCTCCTTCTATTCTCTCTATCTTGTATCCTTTGGGAAAGGTGCTATATAAATCCAATTATTATTATCATTATCTCTCTCTCTCTCTCCTTTTCTCCCTCCATCCCTCCCTCCTTACCTCTTTGTACTCTCTCTCTCTCTCTCCCTCCCTCCCTCCCTCCCTCCCTCCCTCCCTCCATACATTTATACAAACATACATTTTATCTTGAGTTGCCTTCATTTCACCCTGAACTTCTGGAACACTCTACAATGAACTCACCGAAACCATATCCATAGAAGTTGAGAGCAACAATGGCCCAAGTAGCCATGACGACTCCAGACGCCGTCAGGACCTGTCCTATCGTCCTGATCACCATGTGATCTATAAGAGGCCATGATTCCTGAGGAGTCACCGCATGGTAGAAACTAATTCAAGAATAATCGTTAAAAAAACAATCATCAAAATTTATAGTCATATACTTAATAATTAAGCCTTGAGTACTACAAAAGTTCTAAAATGCTTTTGATCCTTATTCTTTTTCAAAAGGATGCATAATTTGTCAGGTGACTGGCAGAAAGTCACACACATGCTATAAAGCAAATTTCTGGTTAGTTGCTTCTATCGTTTGGATTGCTCGATACATATGTTATACCATTTCATTTTAATATGTCACAGATTTCTCTCTTTATTGACTATTTTAAAAAAAAGTGAAAATGGATGGTAGTTTCATATCAAATAAGCACATATATTGGTGCATTTACAAATTTCTGCTTAACCAAATAGTATGCATCCACATTTAGCAGAACGGCACCACATGCAGGCTATATAACCCTCTTCTGCCAGCCACATGATGTAAATATCTTCACACATTATCCTTCCTCTGAAGAGGTAAAGGCCATAGAATTTTTTTTCCTGAAGTTGGAGTTGTGGGAAAGTTTAAGTCTCAAGAGTGCTTCTATATTTGTGGTCATTGCATTAACAAAACCAACAATTCACATTCTATATTCTTGTCAACCCCTTTAGCTATCTATCTTATTTACATTTTATCAAACATCTCTACCTGTGTTATAACAAAAAAAAAGGAAAAAAGATGCAATTCTCAAAGAAGATGATTAACACCGTTTTGCACTGTGGTTTAAACACCAATTTGATTCTGCGCTAATCATAATTTCAAGTAGCAAGAGGAATAATAATTTTAATTTTTTAACTTTATTTCTTACGTATGGAATCTGAGCACAGCTACGATGACAATGATAATGTGAATAATGATTTTAGCTATATTTCTTACGTGTTGAATCTGAACAGAGCTAAGATGGCAATGATACAACAGAAGACTGCGCAGGCTATCTTCTTGGATCCGAAGAGCCTCGTTAGAAACGAGGTCCTATACTCGTAGCGAGAAGCCTGATGAGAAAAAAGAATACCCAAACTAGCAACCATACCTAGTTATAAATCAATCAGTAGATAATGTAGTAAAGAACATCAGCATAGATTTCACAATGAGGAAAGAACTATACAAATTTGCTTGATATTACTTATAGAAAACATGTCCTTGTTTGAATCAGATCCAGTTTAGACCTACATGTATATTTAATTGTATTCATTCTAATGACAGCATAGTTATATACCACACACATCTGACTAAGAAATATCAAGAGGGAAAGAGCGATTCATTTCTTTTAAAAAGAAATAAAGGGTTCTAGAAATAAAGGATATATGTGAATGATTGAAATATTAACAGAGTAGCTTTCATTCAACTGTTGATGAGAGATTATTAAGATACAGGCCAAACATTTTTACTGATGTGTGCAGCGCTTTGTAACTTTAAAGAGAATGCACTATAACAAATACCTTTTGAATTGGATCCAATGAAGAGAGTTTCATGAACTTAAATACAAAAGAGAAGAAAAAATCTTCCCTGGATTACCCTTTTCATTTATTGCAGTAATGTCAATGATTTTCATTCAAAAAAATTTAATCTAAGGTTGCTCTAGATTGCCTTTTATTTCAAGGTATTCAAACAAAGAAAATTGCATAAAGACGGTAATGCTTTTTCTTTCTATTTCTCCTTATCCACCTAGCCTAGTAGGGGACCTACTAAAGCAAAAATTATATCCCTAAAACCTGTTTCCACTGTCATGAAAGAGTATGTTGCCCTCTTCAAGTAATACAAGACTCTCATGTCAGACTACACTTCAATGACTTCAATAATGAAATGCTCAAAATCGTGTTTTTTATGAAAATTAGTACAAATGTGCTTTATTAACATTGTTTTTTCATCATCATGGAAGGTACATGCAAATAATTTGATTTTCATATATTTCATAATACAGAAAATTCATCTTTAAAGATTGTATAGTTTGAACACATTCCATTACACTATTTACTCCTCTCCATTTAAGTTTAAACATCATTCACCCATTTAGTGCACTTACTATCCATTTGGTACTACATCCCTCAGCTTGATATAACCATACATTCCCCATCCCAGCTTTATCATCGACAATTGAACTACATGATCGAATGATGTTTATTACTGGATGAAAGCACAAAGACAATTATTTTCTACATGTATATCAGAAAACCAATATCACACATGCATAAATGCAAAAATACAAAATAGTTGCCAAAATTCATTAATAAATGTTTGTCATCATTACATAACATGATTTCGACAACATATCTCAAACCGTGTAATTTCACAGTAGTTCCTTTTAGAACACTGTAAGCTTATCAAAACACAGACAACCAGGTATCGAGGGTGAAGGGAAATGTTCCCCACATGTTGGAAAAGTTGATAACAGCTATTAAAAGCATCTACAACACAATACTTGACATGATCAACAGCAAAGCAATTCAAGATTGATAAGAATATTGGAAGTACAACCCAACAATCAAAACAACATCATGCAAAAAGTATGATTAAGAGAGCAATGTGGAAGAAATATTTCACCCAAATACTTATAATGATTCAATTGCAGAGAAATGCTGAAAACAAACACACTTAAAACATTCTGGTAACTCATTTGAAGCTTAATACACAAGATGTGTCACCTAAAATGAGAAAGGTTTTAACCTTATTATGTATTGAATTGAATTTATTGACCTGCATAAAAAAAAAAGAACATGCAAAGTCAAAACACACAATAAAAGATTTGTTACGAATGTGGATGAGACAATCAAATGGAAAATATACTGAAGGGAATTACGAAGTGGTTGGATCATCAAAAAGTTACAGAAACCTGTACATACATGATGCAACATAAAATACAAAAATAAAACCAACACAAAAAATGAGACAAAGAAAAAGTACAATAATACATTTAAAAAAGGTGGTTACCAAGATTAAAAGCTGTTGCATCAGGTGAAATTTCAGATTATGCTTGAAACTGTTTAATTTGGGGAGTAGTTTGTTCCAGATAGTGGGTCCTTTACATACATATATATATATATATATATATATATATATATATATATAATTGGACAAGATAAATGGCATACATTACACAAGTGTTTGTTGAAATCCTGGTACTATATCTACAAATATCTTTGTTGCTCTGAAAGATATTAACAAAAAATTGGTAACAGGTAATATGATGATATGAAACATAAAAACACAAAATTGAAAATCATGTAATAATGAAATTGGGAGAATATCTAATTTCAGGAATGTTGCTAAAAAAAAATAGATCTTTAAAATAATCATTACTGGTAAACCTCTCAGCAAGTTCTTTAGAATCACTTATAATTGAACTGTTGTACTAAAAAACAAAGGCACTTTTCTTATATTTCCTTCTTTGCAGAACAACTTTAATAGTTCTCCAAGTTTTAGTCATGCTTCCTTTAAAGGAAATTTTGAAAGACTAGCATTTATTTTCTGGCATTACATATATATGGTTTGTGTGAAAATTACAGATCTTGTTGTAACATTATTTTTTGTATTCTTTAGGTTTTTTAATGTACTTCTCATAATTCTTGAGCACATCCTTTTTAGTTGTTTGGAAAACCATGGCAAATGTTTTTTCTTATAAATGGTTCTGTTGAGTGGAAAACAAGTACTATAAATCTCAGAAGAATAAAAACAACCATGAATTCTCGCGTTTCACAATCCTTGCGCCCTCATTCGGTTCAGTTGTAACAGTTACTCTAGTGCGGTAATTTAGGGAGATGGGTCGACAACTTTCTAGACAAATCAGCTCGCTATTACGCTGGTGAAACATCACCGGGAGCCCGCCCGCCCCGCCAGCTACTGCTCAGTCCCGGCACATCATCATTTCGCTTTTCGATCTGGAGTAGATCTAGTTGACATTGTCATCACGGTCTTCTATTGTGAAGCTGCAGAATGTTATTCTCATACTTCAAAGAAATTGTCTTTGACCCGCGGGTGCTTTTCATGGTACGAACGTTGGGGGCACATGTATTGTGAAATGCAAGAATTGGCTTGGTTCCTCATTTGTGATATACAGAAAGTATTCAGTAGAAGAGAGATGTTAAATAAAACAGTTTATATGTACATCATTAATTTGATGTTTATATACAGCTGGTTGTTCTTTATAAATACCTTAAATCAAAGACTGCAAATGTAGGTAAATGCTCAGATACTTCAGAGGTATATTTTGGGGAGAATATTTGTAATTTGAAATAGTCCTATAAAATTACACTTAGAACCATCATCTATCTATTCAAATGTACATTGTGTGCATTGATATAACAAGAGCACAAAATGGTAGACCTATATATTGAAATCCTCTGACAACTAAAAAAATTAATTCAAAACTTTTGAACATGGGATGTTGTGTTTACAGATCATGTTTTTTGTTATGCAGGTTACTAAAGGAACTAATTAGTTTTTAATGAACATAAAATGACAAAGATCATTTGGTTTTCTTGCTTTCCTCCAATGCCTTCTCTGCATATATCTTGGATGTAAAAGGTCCTTCAAATTGCATCGCTATGATGTACATGGTAGCGACGACAGCCGTTAAAAAGAGACCTGATGGACTTGCAGACCTGTGCATGGTACAAGGAGAAACGGAAAGGAAAAGAAGACATTAGTTAGCTCAATAGAAAATAAACATCATGATGATGGGGGAAATATGGAGAAGGAAAAGGAGAACATTACATAGAAGAAAAATACAAAACAAGAGTATAAAATATATCAACATTTGTCTCAGATTGTGAATTTGGACAAGGATAAAGGGGTAAATTATTGTCAACCTGCTGATAATACAGTCTGAAATAACTCAAAGAGAAATTGAATGATATCAAATGGATCATTGAAATATTCTTTTAACATGGATAGGATACTTGATCAACAAAGTATCATAAATAGTTTAGACAGCCTCAATCTGAAATATGAAATTCGCAAGAAGGAATGTGCACAAAGTTGTATTTACAAAATTGATCCATTACTGTTATAGACAATTTTAGTGAGTGATTAAACTACCCGGTACTAATTTATGAGAAACAAGATATATATCAAGTCTGTTGACTTGATTTACTAAAATTACTCAAATTTGAATAAAGGTGAATATGTTGCACAAATGAAATCTATATACTAATAATCCATCAATGCATTCATATTATTAAAATAAGAAAAGAAGTATTGAAAGAGACACACCTACACATATAAATATATTCTTGGGAACTGAACGTAAAACTAATGTTTAGGATTTTCAGAGATAAAATATGTAAAGAAATCCAAGAGTGACACCATTGCAGGCAAAATCTAATAGCAAATATAATAGCAAGATGATATGAAATGAGCATTATGATTTGTGATTTATACCAAGATAATACATGTGAACTTACTGAAGAGCTATGCCAAGATGTTCCAGTACAGAACCCCAGTACATAGGATCACCAACAACGTTGAATGGGAAGGACGTCACTTTGTCATCCATCAAAATACCAAAATAATCACCTGGGGGAAAAAAAGAAAAAAAAGTATGAAAATTCACGCATAATGGAATAATTCAAATATATTTTATCTCCAAACTAGTCTCAAATTCTAATGATATAAAAAAGTGTCGTAGTCGAGTGGTTTAAGCACTTGACTTGAAATTCAAAGGTCATGGTTCATTTCCCGACACAGCACTAATGTCCTTTTGGCAAGGCGTTAATCTTCATTTGCCACACTCGACCCAGGTGAGGTAAATGGGTACCTGGCAGGAATTAATTCCTTGAGCTAGGCTAAAGTCGGGGTCATAATAAATGTGCCTCGGAATAGAATTTCTAGATAGAAGGCGCTATAGAAATGCCTATTGTTATTATCAAAATTCAACAATTTCACAACATCTGCTAAATACATTTCAGAGTGTTTCCACAGAAAACATCGACACGGTATTTTCCGTGTCATACCGTTTCATACCGGGTCAGTTTTCCTGTGGAAACACAAGCGTGTCGGGTCGAGTCGACCGAGATGCGGATTATCAGATCCACCTCTGGGAGGTGGATCTTGACGTGTCGACCCCAACGAACTCCCTGTAAAATCTCTGTGGAAACACACAGCGACAAACCGTGTCTGGCGGAGCATCAGAGCGCGCGAAGCCCCAATCACCACTGCAGCGTGATTGGTTGAAAAATACTCTGAAATACGCGCGTATACAATAATATGTTTATATACGCGCTGTACGTAACAATGAAAAATGTACGTCACAATAGAATAGCGTGGAATCTTGTGTAGATCTGAATCCACGATCGAGGTCAAAGGTTGAATCTTGACTTCCGATTGACAGGGCATTTTCCTGACTTGGAAAACGGAATCGGGGCGAATCGGAATGCTGCGCTCTGTGGAAACAGATTGGTTTAATACCGTGTCGCGGCGACACGGTATTTCAATCCGGAAAAGATCATCCGGGTTCCACTTTTTTTCTGTGGAAACACGCTGTTTGATAGGAAGGTAATAGCTATGCAATAATTATAGAAAAAGGCAAAGAGGGTGATTACTTCAATATAGAATCCAATTTGAGTATAATACATATGTAAAGCGCTTAGAGATATCATTGATGTATCAAGCTTTATATATTATTATTATTATTATGGTTTTTGATTTCAGAGTATGAAATTTCAGGATTTTTGTTTTTGTTTTGTTTTGGTAGTATTAATTACATTTTGACATTTCAAAACAACCATCTGATGTATCATTTAAAACGTCAGAATGATCGTTAGATATCATAGATTATATGATATGACATTTATCTAGAAATAATGACACTATTCAAGATGGAAAATATACTCCTTTTTGGTGATTGCAAGAATATATTCGCATGACTTTTTCTCTTTTATTCATGACATGTTCATATCTGCAGTAGATAAATGTATATTCAACAGTTAAAAAAAGATCATTCTACCAGGCTGCATTTTTTCCTCTTGGTACTCAGGTCTATTTCCTTATCTGTTTCCAGATTAATGGCTATCTATTTTGATGTTTTATTTTCCTTATCAGTTACAAGTGTGTCTGTTTTCCACCTAATATTGTGTCATTTCTATTTCTGTGTTCATTTCTCTCCCCCTCCCCTAGCTCACCCCCCCCCCCCTCACACCTCTCTCTCTCTCTCTCTATCTGAATATATCTACTCTTCTAATATCTCTCTGCTCCACCCCCTCTCTCTCTCTCTCTCTCTTCCCCTCTCTCCCTACCCCCCCCCCTCTCTTTAAATCTATCTCTTTCTGTCTCTCCTTTTCTTTCCCAACCTTGTGCTTGTGTATCTATCTACTTACCTAGATATGTTCCGTAGAATCCCAAAGCAAAGAAACTAGATATGACAAGAATAATCCCAACAGCTAATAGACCTGTTCCTATCATCCAGACCAAGTCTGTTTCTAGAAGCGCCCATGTGTATTGGGTACCAATGGCTAGCTGGAATCTGGTAATGAAACACAATTTTTACATAATGTTGATAAATTTGCAATCTTTGAATGCTTCATCAGAAAATATATACCGGTAATATTTTCAAGCATTATAAACCTGCAGTTTGATCCATAAATCATGCGTATTACACGTCTTTGACAGGCTGAATGATACATGGACAGTTAAAATATCATTAACAAGTTAATCTTATTAAATAAGCAGCATCAAATTCATATCCAAATTATAAAGGTAATAATTATGACTTTTTGTTTTTTATGAAAATCTTGGGTCACATAAAATGCAAACATTTCATCTACAATACAAAACTAAAAGCCTTCTCCCTACCATGAAGTTAGAGAGAGATTTTTATTTAAAAAAAGGATTTTAATTTTTCTGTCCTGGATTTGAGTAAATTGTCTTTTATTCCCTTATCTGAATTTCAGTTTTTTACATCTGCGTGAGGGGGCAAAGCGGTTCAATCCCAGAAAAGATCTGAAATGTTTAGGGTTCAAATTTTTCCTCAGTTGGGTGTATAATGTCTGTAGACATACGTTATTGATAGGACAAGGATTCACTGCAGTTACATCATGGGATATGATTTCATTGACTGTTGGATGACCTTTGCTACTCACCTTCTACTTCTGACCAGAGCAAGAAAGACAATGGTAGCTGCCAGGAGCATACATCCTCTATTTGGTGAACCAACCAGTCTACTGATTATCTTCGTATTATACTCCAATCTTGCTACCTGATAATAAGAGAGGGCACATGATCATCTCAACAAACATTTCTTTCATTTAACTCCAACTTCTCCACGGATGTACAATCAAGTATTACACAATAAGTCAGTATGTTGCTCAACCTAAGATTCTAACTGATAACACCTCTACATATTTAGCATTACCTCTTAACTGCTGGAAAATACACCATAATCTCTCCATGTTTGCATGAACAGCTATAAATCCATTACCAGCAGTTCTGCTGAAGTGTTAAAAAAACAATCTTAAGAAATATCTGTTTAATTATGTATTATTATTATTATTATTATTATTATTATTATTATTACCAAAGCACAATCATATCCTTGGTTTATGAACAATGAAAGATTTGGAGGCATTAAGCCCTTCCAAAGATATAGAGATCATGTTACATTATTTTTCACTAATTTTTATTTAAAACTCTTTGTTTTAAATCACCTACAATCACCTACGATCTCTACGAATAATTGCTTATTGTTCCCATTCATATGGCAAAGAAAACAAATTTGAAAAATTTCTAATTCCATATATCACACTACTTTGTGCCCACTTACATCATTTCTTTCCCTTGATTATCTTTACAAGCATGGCAATTTTATTTTCATTGCCCCAATAAATATTATAACAAGCCCTGATAGAAAGAGAGGGAGGAAATTGGGTCTGATAAATTTTATTTTCATTAGTATTTTACAGATGAAATATATTTCCTAGTAATTCTTACAACCTCTTAATATTGATACTTATATTGTTAAAAATACATAAGTGAGATATAGATTTAAATGACAAATATAATTTTAGTAGCTCTGACACCAAATCCTTTAAAGCTAATAGTTTGAAAAATGATGATTAAACAATCAAAGCAAGCAATAAAAAGCAGGGGAAATGTACTAGTCTACTGTTAAAGAGCTGCATAATAAAACTGGTGCCAGGTAAAAAGGTTATAGGTAAAAATGACAGCAGTAAAAATGGAAAATAGCAAATAATAATGATTAATTGAAGCAAATAAAACTCAACTTACGTCTTGTTGTTCCACAGGTCAGTAGTATGTATGTACGTATAGTCCCAAAATATGATTTATGATATTATCGATTAATTGATTAATATGAAATCAATAATCAATAAATATGAAATATGGATCGATAATTATGGATCAATAAAATCGATAATTGATAAATATGAAATATGGATTAATTAAATATGTATTAATTAAATATGGATCGATAAATATGGATGATGAAATATAAAGTATGAATCAATGAACAAATAGAAAATAGAAACAAAAATGAATAACGAGGAGGTTGTAGGTTTGTATGACGTCACACAGTGACGTAGTGTACGACGAGGGGGGTTGTCTCGTATTTTACAATAGAGTGGAACCTGGGAAGGTATGACGCAAGGGTTGAAGGACGTGTAGAGACACATACGATATGACGTAAGGTTTGAAGGGCAGGTAGAGACGTGACTGTGGATAAACATGATGTCATAGTCTGAATAAAAGAGAACGCATCATCTATTAAATATAGAATAACCACGTCATGGTACCGTAATAGGCACGTAAAAAATGTATAAAATACTGTGGACGTGTCCAAAAGAAATAGTATATTCAATTGTACATCACCGTCAGCAACATGTACAGTTACTACAAACATAATACAAAGACGACTAACGAAGACATGGAAGATGTACCTCGTGAGAATGAAGATTCGGGGTATACATCGCCCGAACCCTTATTCATAGACGAAGGCTTATCAAATCTACAGCCAGGAAAAATGAACGAACAAGGCAGACAAGTGGGAGAGAAAACCATCAAGCCACTGAAGGGACGTCAGATGGACAGCTACGAGAAGGATGTGGATGGAGGTGGTACAGACGTGACAACAAACACGGCCCGTGATGTGAAAGCCACAACCGTTGCCAAGTTACCAATCAGCATGAAGGATGGACGTGCCAAGTACGTGGCCGTGCGAAAATTCAGAGGTCAAGTCTATGTCGACGTTCGAGATTACTACGAGTCAAATGGACAGTACTTTCTGACTAAAAAAGGCATCACATTATCTGCGAGGGAATTCAAAGCAGTCCTGATGATTTCTAAGAACATCAACCGTGCAATCTACAGTGGAGAAAACCCGTAGTAGCATCGAGACAAAAAACCTTGGATATGTAACGGAATGAATATGATTTGTAAAAAAATGATAATAAAGTTGTCACCATTTTACAGTAAAATCCAACGTGTTTATTATACTTTATTGCGTTTGTTGTCTTGACATCAAGGGTAGTGAACCTGTAAGAGACAAAAGGCGAGAGAGAGAGCGAGAGAGAGAGCGAGAGAGAGAGAAAGAGAGTGAGAGAGAGAGATTGACGCTTGATTGTTTGTGACGTGTGTAAGATTAAAATTGTGTAAACCATTGAGGGAATAGATGAAAAAATAGAGAGAGAGAGAGAGAGAGAGAGAATGCCTGAGATTAAAACTTTTACTAAGAGGGGAGTTCTTACAGAAACAGATGTTAGCGGTACGTTTGAAGTTGATCCGTTATTATACTTAATACAGGCGATGGGGGTCTTGTAGAGACTAGTTCTATTGTGTTTTGTTATTTTATTTTATTTTATTTCTAATTATTTTTATCCTCTTAACGTCCAAGACCAATTATCCTTACCAGAAAACAGTTGTTAGCGGTACGTTTGAAGTTGATCCGTTATTATACTTAATACAGGCAAGGGGGTCTTGTAGAGACTAGTTCTATTGTGTTTTGTTATTTTATTTTATTTTATTTCTAATTATTTTTATCCTCTTAACGTCCAAGACCAATTATCCTTACCAGAAAACAGTTGTTAGCGGTACGTTTGAAGTTGATCCGTTATTATACTTAATACAGGCAAGGGGGTCTTGTAGAGACTAGTTCTATTGTGTTTTGTTATTTTATTTTATTTTATTTTTAATTATTTTTATCCTCTTAACGTCCAAGACCAATTATCCTTACCAGAAAACAGATGTTAGCGGTACGTTTGAAGTTGATCCGTTATTATACTTAATACAGGCGAGGGAGTCATGTAGAGACTAGTTCTATTGTGTTTTGTTATTTTATTTTATTTTATTTTTTAATTATTTTTTATCCTCTTAACGTCCAAGACCAATTGTGACCTGGCACCACAAAACCAACAAAAAGTCGCAACCAGCGATTCTCCGTAATCAGCTAAAATGTCAATTTAGGTGAAAAAATAGATTTTTGTTTTTTTGCATTTTCTGAAAGAGTGGTCTTTTCTGTACCTAGTATCAAAATTTGGAAGTCTAAAACATAGTAGAAGATGTGTTTTAAACGGTTTTTCTAGACCAGTTTTTTTCGCACAGCCTTCGGTCTCTTCCAAAATTTGATCACTTTTCCCGAGCGAAATTATCGTAGTCCGGAAATGGTCGGTCGTTGCTAACGGGTCGTGCTACGCGGGCTGTGATTGGTCCGTTATAGCAATCAGTGCGGCGCGCCATTTTAATAATAATAATAAAAAAATAATAAAAACGTTACTTATAAAGCGCTTACCACCGAAGTCTCTAAGCGCTATACACACAAAATAGACTGATATACAATTACATCTTATACAAAACTAAAAATGCAAATAAACCTACAAATAACAATACATATGGAATACACATCAAAGTGAACAGAGATAATTAATCATCGAACGCAATTTTGAATAAATGTGTCTTGAGACTAGTTTTGAATAGGTTAACGGTTTGACAGTTTTTTACATTTAAAGGTAATTTGTTCCAAAGTTCAGCAGAAGCTTTGCGAAAGGAGCGATTACCATAAGAGAGAGTTGACACAAAAGTAGATACGAGGTTTAATTGTGAAGATGACCGTAAATTGCGTGAGGGTTTGTATTCCTCGATTAATTCTTGCAGATAAATTGGTGCCAATTCATGAATGCATTTATAAGTTAAAACTAAGATTTTGTACATGATGCGGTACGTCACCGGCAACCAATGCAATTCGCGAAGTACTGGGGTGATGAACGTGTGCGTGTTACAAGCCTGGCAGCAGAGTTTTGGATTCTCTGGAGTTTTGCAATGTGCGACTCCGGAAGGCCATAAAGAAGGCTGTTGCATTGATCAAGACGGCATGTAATAAATGCATGTATAAGCGTTTCGGTAGATTTTTTATCAAGAAAATTTCTAATACCACCTATCTTGTACAAGGCATATGAAGCTGAGCGACAAATATTTTTTATATAATCATCCATCCTAAGATCATTTTCAAAGATGACACCAAGGTTACGTGCACTTTTGACAGGTTGTATCGGAACATTAGCAATTTCGACAGATGGTAAATGGGAGGACTTTCTGAATCGAGATGTTACATGTATAACCTCGGTTTTATCCTCATTTAACTTCAAATCATTAGCAGTGGACCAAGCTTTGATATCATTTATACATCTTTCAAGTTTAGTAATAACAGAATGGTCGGAATCACGTTTCAAAACAACATAAACTTGGGTGTCATCTGCATATATCATTCGGCCTAAACCATGCGCTTCAATAATATCTTCAAGTGGTGCAGTGTACAGAGTAAATGATAAAGGGCCGATGACGGATCCCTGAGGAACACCTTCAAGTGGAACATGAGGTTTGGATAATGAGTCATTAATGACAATAGATTGTGAACGATTCATAAAGTAGGTTTTAAACCAATTTTGTTTGTATCCACTTTCACATCCGAGTTCCAGATTTGCGTTCGTCTTATATTCTCCGTTAACGACTGCGAGTAGCTTGATTGTACATCACATATCCAGAATTTGTTGATCAAGAGTAAGAACATTATTATATTTTATACATTTGAGAGTGACAAGTTGCGAAAAAGTCTACAACGTCGTTACAATGCCAGGTTTTGTATGTGAGCAGAGCCGTGGGATGGTACCGGGGTGCACCAACGCAGATGCCCGGGTAGCTCGGGCGGTCAACGAAGCGATGATGCGGGGGCTAGCTGCGGGGGATCAGGCCAGCCAGCTACTGGAAATGAAAGAGCAAGTCATAGTAAAAATACTTTGAACCTCCTGTGAGAAAGAAAACAGTATGGGAATTAAGTATAAAGCAAGTTCATAATGTGGTTACAAATAATTGCCCAGATGTATACAAAACAAGATAGGTGACAAGCAGTGTTATGTAAGGGGGAACAAAAAGACTCCGGGTCCACCATGAATAGGCATTGTCTAGTGCAGGTGTCTCGGCACTATGTTGCAGTTCACTTAATCTGTCCAATTACAACTCTATACATTTACAACATAATAACTTTTGAAAGACTTAAGTCCACACATTGAAACCTCAGAAACATAATGAACAGACTATGTTTGACCATCAGGCCAAATTTCAGCCTAATCTGAAAATCTCTTCATAGTGGTTGCTATGGCCTTTTGATTCACCCTTCTATTGATTTCCCTGTGGTTTGCTTGCTCCGCATGCTTGAATAGCCCCAAACGTTAAAGCTCTCTTTCTCACAATTTAATACCAGTAACCTCCCTCACCAGCTCTTTTCATTCACTAAATTGAAAGGGTTAGGAAGCTTCAATTTGGACAAGTAATATACCATTTTAATGAGGAGAACTTCTTCTTCATAATCAGATGAAATCAGGAAAATAATTTTTTGCTACTTTTTGGTGGTTTTGTGGTGCTGGGTCACAATTATCCTTACCAGAAACAGATGTTAGCGTCACAGGATTTGAAGTCGTCTTAATCGTGAAATCCATTGTGAGGGGGTCTATATATAATTGTGAGTTATTTTTTTATCACACTTGTTTATATCATAACTTGAATCTACAAATAATCATGGACGTCTTTCCTACCGAAACCGATATTCTCAATGACGGCCTAGGTGTTTCACCTCGATTTTACAGAAAGGGGAAAGCTCCAAAGGAGGTATTACGTACGGTACTTTCCGCTGCAAGAGGATTGCAGATGCTTGTAATACTGTTACACCGGGAGATGTTCTATTTACATTTAAGAACATTTAATAGATTTGGTGAAAATATTGTAATAGGCGGATCATCGGTTTTCTTGGGAGAACAAGACATGTTTTCTTTCCTGTCGCATCTAGATGTGATTGATGAACAGCTACACGATTACGATGACCATGTTGGGCGTAATGGCAGTACTTACAGTATTGAAGTTGATGTTCTCAGTGATGATCGCCCACACCGTTATAAAAATTTATCGAACAAATATGAAAACACATCCCTGTACATAGAAACCGGTGTCCTAAGAGGAAAACAGTTCATGGACGTACGACAGGTCCTTAGAGACCAGGATAGAAATTTCAATACTGATAGATGTTTCAATACCTCCAACGGTATGTGTATGTATTTAGATGCATGGACAACGCTTTTAAATCTACGCGATGATATTATGAACCGGACAAGGGCGGAACGCGATGTCGTACTTGGAGAGGATGAGGAGTTCCACCACATGGACTATGGCCTGTATGACCTTGTATTGCTACAGCAAGGCCTGGTTGAGGGGTCAAATAACGGCGGTACACGCTATACCCACCCCTTTTCCAGGTCAATATTTGTAAAAAAATGTTTGCGAGAGATACAGGCCGAAATTGACCACGAGAAAGCCTTGGACGACGCCGAGGC